GTTTAGACAAGATTGTATATCATGAGTTGAATGACTTTTTAACCAAATCTCATACAGTAGTCTACATTTATTTCTTTCTCAATCACATATTCCATAGAGACTCAGTCTTTCATTCTCCAGTGAAGTAGAGGAAATTATATTTTCATTATTATAATTCAATTGTTCATAAGAAGTCTTCTACTGAATTTAAATTATAGTAGCTATAATTAATTGATGAAATTTTAAATACATATTTAAATTACTTCTGTCTACCATCATTGTTGACGTCCACGAGTTAGCATTACCATCTTATGACAAACTCTGCTAAATGTCAGTAGTTCGTATTTTCAGGCCAATAATTGTTAATGATTGTAATTATTGCAGTAAATGGTTGTAGGTTAAGTTACATTTCAATACACAGAACAATTCACATATATGCAGAAGACAATATTAAGCATTCACGAATCTCCCTTCTACATTAAGAATTGTAGTCAATAATTTAGTCCCCTTAGTTAAGATTAATTCATGGTTGTACAAATGAAAGCCAGGGTCCCTGGCCTAACACCCTACTTTAAGAGTCTATTCATTTTCACTGAAAAAACAACTTAAAATACAAAGGTCATAAAGGGTAAACAAGCAAATATAAATTTCATCAGAAACTTAAGCTTCGAGTTATGACTTGAATGTACCTAACCACTTCAATCAAATATGTAGGCACGTACTTAACGTTTTCAGAGTATACATGTTTCATCAAATTCTAAATAGAAAGCACAATATACAAAAATATTTCTTTTAAATATTTTATTTATTTATTCATGAGAGACAGAGAGAGAGAGGCAGAGACACAGGCAGAGGGAGAAGTAGGCTCCATGCAGGGAGCCCGACGTGGGACTCGATCCCAGGTCTCCAGGATCACGCCCTGGGCGGAAGGCGGCGCTAAACCGCTGAGCCACCCGGGCTGCCCCCAAAAATCATATTTAAAAAAAAATAATATACTGTTTATGTGTGTACATGTGCAAATGTTGCTTTCGAAAAGTTCCCAGAAAAAGAAAAATAGCATCTCCCATTCCCATTTATTCTTAGATGATTGTTTAACAGTGAAGTCAGTTTACATTTGAAGACATTTTGAATAATCCTATTAAAAACCAATTCAAACAATGTGGCTCATGTTTAACTCTTCAGTTATTTATCCATTAATCTCTTTAAGTGCTTCCTTCCCAACACAGCTGTAGTTCAAGAGGTGGCCAGCAGTTGGCCTCCATTTCAGTGGATTTTCATGAAAGCCCAGATTTCTTTTTGCAAACTTCTAAAAAGTTGTATGAAAAATAACTTTTTCATAACTTAAGAGGTTATAAAAAGCTTTCAAAAGGATCCAAAAGAAACACATTTTCTTTTAAAAATAAAAACCAAACAAAAGGAAGCCACACACATTGTAAAGATGTTCTTTGCAAAACATTCTGTTCAGCAGATCTGAAATGTCTCCAAAGGGACCAAGAACCACTTGGTTTGGAAGCAACAGTTGAGAACTTGTAACAGGTTAAAAGCCAAGAGTGACAACCATGAAGAGATTTTTAAAGCAGATTAGGAGTACCTGAGATACTGGGCACTGGGCCTTGCCTAGTCTCTCTGTTCCATTTATTTGGAATACCTTCAACGGTACCATTCAACCACCCAACATACAGCTGTTCAAAAGCCTCTGTCCTTGGTCCTCTGTTCTTTTCTTTTACACTGTCCCGTAAAGACTACAATCCTCCTAACTATGATGGTTACAGTGACAGCTCCTAAACCTACATTTCTGTTTCTGTTACATCTCCCAAACTTAATCTCCTATCTCCAAGTTTGACTTAAAAATCTCCACCAGAATATGCCATTATTATCTCACATACAACACATACGAAACAAATTTATTCATCTTTATCAAACTAATTCCCTCTTTCAGTTTCCCTGTCTTTGTTAACATTAATCCCATTGTTCTGGTCACCATCAATCAAACCATAGAAACAATCATGGACTCCCTGGTGCCCTCCATCACTCACGTTCAGTTGGTTCATGTGGCAGATTGCATTCTTCAAAGATTGCCACCACAGTATCTCCCATCCCACATGTATTTCAGCAACACAATCTTGCCACTTCAGCATCAAACACATAGTGGAGTCTAATTCCTCTCTCCCTGAATCTGGACTGGCCTTAAGATTCACTTACAACCAGAAGAATGTGACTGAAGCAATGCTATCAGACTCCTGAGGTTATGTCAGAAAAGACCGTGAAAAAAAGAAAAGAAAAGAAAACCCTGTGCCTCTCCTGCCTAGTTCTCTCAGAACTCTTTCTGGGGGAAGCCAGCTGCACACATGAATGCTAACTACCTTAATACTGTCTTGCTCAGAGACCACATGTAGTTCCAACCTGGCCCAATCTTCCAGCTATCCCACCAAGGTGCCATAATATGAATAAAGCCATCCTGGATCCTCTTGACCAGTTCATCTGCCAGCCCTATGCCACCATACTGTATTTAGTGTATGCTGGCAGATTCACCCAACTGAGCCCATGCCCCTAATTCTTGACACATAAAATCATGAAATACATTATATAAATGTATATTATAAATATAATAAAATCCACAGCTTCCTTCAAAGCATCAATAAGTTGTAAGTAGAGTTGTTACTATGTGGGGCTAAATGTTAACTGACATACCAGTTCTTTCCCTCCATTCCCAAGGCCATCACCACAGAGGAAGCTCTTGTCACCTTAGACCTAGATCATTATAACTGATTCCAGGCTCTCCTCACTATAATCTGCCATTACAATCTATCTAACCCAATAGTTCCAACTGAAAAACTACTTTTACACACCAACACCACAATCAGCACCAATCTCACTGATGTTTCCACTTGTAGAAAGTTTTATAATGCAAACTTCATCTAGATAACAACAGCCAGAGAGCTGTCAATAGGGAAAATATTCTTTTCCTTATTCTTTTCCTTATTCTTTTCCTCTTTTCCTTACTTTAAGGGAGAGAGATCAGAGCTAAGGAGATTAACTTTTAAACAATCTCACTGCCAATAAATGGAATGAATATAAACAGAACTAAGACGCTGTGTCAAAATTTACTATTTCTCTGTTCAACAATGCTTCCTATCATCTATTTCAGATAAAAAATGTTCAATGTCTTTTTCCCTCCCCACTACAGCAAACCTACTTTCTAAACATCCTTGATTTGGTCTCAATCTATCCATTTATTTGGTACTGGCTACTAACACCATCACCACCAGCACTACCACCACCACCACCACCACCACCACCACCACAATAAGGATGGCTTATTCACTCCCCTGACAATATGCCATTCTGATTCTAGCCTCTGTACATCTGCTCAAAAGTTTCTTCCTTTCTCCTGATATCTACTTAAACCTTGATCATGCATTAGCATAAATGCCACCTCCTCCATTAAGTCCTACCAGCCTCTGTTGCTTTCTCTCACTATATTCCTACAGAATTTGTAAATTTCAGTCAAATTTTGACAATTACATTGGATTGTTTATCTTGCTCAAGTGTGTTGGTCTTTTTTTTTTTTTAAGATTTTATTTACTTATTCATGACAGACACAGAGAGAGGCAGAGACACAGGTAGAGTGAGAAGCAGGCTCCATGCAGGGAGTCCAATATGGGACTCCACCCGGGTCTCCAGGATCACACCCCCGGCTGAAGGCGGCGCTAAACCGCTGAGCCACCAGGGCTGCCCAAGTGTGTTGGTCTTACTTTCCAGGCTGGTATTTAGCTAACACACATCCATACGTATAGCAATGTTGGGTGCTGACAGCCAGTGTCTGTTCTGGTCAGTCAATACTCATGACGCACCATCTATTAAATATTTTGAATTTCATCCCTGTTTATTTCCTACACTAAACAATATGCTCTTTAAGAACACGACCCTTAAAAAAAAAAAAAAGAACAGGACCCTTGTCTTATAAAGAAGTTCTATATCCTTCAAACCAAACACAGTACTAAGCACACAACTAGCATTCAAAATATATTTGACAACTAATTTGAAGGGAATGAAGTGTGCTGTGTTATGAGAAAAAAATATTCCGAAGTCATGTCTACACTGGAAAGAAAGAATTGAAAAGATAATACAATATTTTCAAGATCAGCATTTTAACCTCAGGGACATTTTATAATGTATCATTTAAAGATGTTCTGTGCAGCCCATAACTGCAAAATGCTCTATAAATGTTTTTACCAGGAGTGTGAAAAAAAATGTTTCAAAAATATTCAGGGAGTAGATGTCTTACCAGCCCAAAATAAAATGTTTGCTGAGGCTACAAGACTGGCAGAACTCTGCTTCATTTCAAAAAGTTTCCAGGCAATGGAAATGTTTTCCTGGAAAATACTACCTTTTATTTAGAGAACACTTGCCATGAACACTTAGTCATTAAGTAATTTAAGGTTTCCTTACAAGCTCTTTGGAGGAAATCTATTATATGAATGAATGAAATTATCAGCACCTATAACGTCAAAAAAATACATTTGGCTAAATATATGAAATCTACCTAAGTATTTTTCCAGCTAAGGGGGAAAAACCCTTGATAGGTTTTGGTCTGTTTACTTTTCTTTTACAATTTTCTATAAGATAAAATTATGAAGAAAAATACAAAATCCTTAAGTGTTTCTCTGTCTGTAATATACACAAATCCAAAAAACTGGAAGGCTTATTTTATTCCAAATGCCAAGTAATTTTCAAACATACAAAACAGTCATTTCATTCAATGAAATGAAATGGTAACTTCAAAACTATTTTTAGCAAAATCTTTGAGTTTGCTTCAAATCACCTTTCAATGAGAGAACAACTTGGTTTGGACATTTCACTCAATCATCTGCAGTAAATCATACAATGAAACCTAAGAAAACAATTTCTTCCAAGAGTTTGAAGCCAACTAACTCCTATTCTTTTAAACATCAAAAGACTCATGGTTCATACACTTAGTCTTTTAAAAACATACACAAAAGGATATTTGTTTTGTTTACCTGTTTAGTATTTCAGTGAGTTTCACAAAGCCAGTGTAAGCCAGTTCAAATGCTCCTCTGTGCCTGGACTGTAAGAGGTGTTGTTTAAAGTAATCCCCTATTTCTTTTACCTTTAAAACGAAATAAAAAAATAAATGTGTGATTTATACTTACTTACATTTATAGATATATTTATGTCAGTAATATCATGTAGAACTCAGAACTAGATCTTTCTTTATCTATTTAGCACTTACTTTGTGACCGGTAGTATTTTAAGTGTTTTTATTATCACATTTAATCCTCACAGTAATTCCACGAAATAAGCACTCTTACCATCCCAACTTTTCAATTGGGACAAGGCCCAGAAAGGCCAAGTAATTTATTCAAGGTCACACAGCAAGTATGTAGTAGAGCCGGTACATACAACCAGGCAGTTTTGGCTCCAGTTGGCCGTTTTTTACTACTAAACTAGAACTGCCTCCCTATGCCAGCTTCACAAACCTTGCTGTTTTCTCTGTTAGCTTGTATCACCCGACATTAACAGCAAATCACACAAAGTGACAACCCTCACTCATCTGGGCCTGGGTGAAATAATTACCTTTTTGTGTTAAAAAAAAAAAATCTGGGATCCCTGGGTGGCGCAGCGGTTTGGCGCCTGCCTTTGGCCCAGGGCGCGATCCTGGAGACCCGGGATCGAATCCCACGTCAGGCTCCCGGTGCATGGAGCCTGCTTCTCCCTCTGCCTGTGTCTCTGCCTCTCTCTCTCTCTCTGTATGACTATCGTAAATTAAAAAAAAAAAAAAAAAAAAAAAATTAAAAAAAAAAATCTTGTTCTATTGTGATTAAAATATACTCAAGATTTACCATTGTTACCATTTTTAGGTGTACGGTTTCGTGGCACTCAGGCTATTCATATTATTGTGTAATCATCAGCACTACTCATCTACAGAACTTTTTTACCTTCCCAAACGGAAACTCCAGTCCATTAAACAATAACTCCTAGTAATCACCTTTTAGAAACATATAATTATTAATGGCAATGCAAGATCTGTGCAAAGGGACTCCTGAAAATTGAAAATTGACAGGCTTCACTCTGAGTCAGAACTATGGAATTTTCCAGAATGCTACCTAATTACTTTCTTACATGTTGCCTTTCTGCATGCAAGTTCAGACAAATTAACAAACGTGACAATTTATTTTAAAGAAGGCATGACTAACAATTAGTTGTTGATGAGATATTGCACAGAATTAACTGGTAAACTGGGCTAATTATATTTTTATACCAGGAATATTTGGTGGCTATCAACTTTAGAAAATCCAAATTTTGTATAAAGCTCAGAACCAAAGCTGTAACTGGCTCTATTGATTCAAGTCTCCCCAGCAGATCACAGTACGGTGGAAAGGCAAGCTGTCCTAAGACAGCTCAGATATGCTTACCTAGAACACCTTCTCCCTCAGCACAGTGAATAGGTTAGTGCTCTGCACACATTAGAGATAGTACACAGTACAAGGTATAGTTAAACATTTGGCCATTGGCAAGTGTCTTTGTTTCCTCATCTATAAACTAGGAATAACAATAGTACTTGTCACGAATGTTGCATACTAAAATAAGTTAATAAACCTAAAAGTTCAGAACAGGCCCATAACCTATAATCCAATTCAGTCTCTAGGTTTCCAAATAGAAGATAAGTAAAGATGTACTCCATACTCAAAATATATTTGGTTATAGAGAGGTAACAAGTGATACATTTAGAGAAATAAAAATCAGACATAAAACAACAAAGAATCAGAAAAGCAATATATAATAGGATTTTTAAAAACCTAACACTTTAAATAACCCAAGAATGCCAGGTCAGGTTCTTCAGCTCAAGTTTTCAGGTAAAGATCTGATGATACTTCTAATTTTTCATATTTTTTAAGAGCCACATACTACTAGCTATCAAAACCACAGTCAGGGCAAGCTTTATCATTTTCTCTTCAATCCAGTAATTTCAGAGCATATTTTGACCAGAATTATCAAGACTTAAATCTGAATTTAACCCCCAAGCTAGATCTAATGCTCAATAATCTTACAAAAATGGGGACCAGAAGAAACTCCACTTAGCAAATCATTTCTATTATTAGAGAAATAAAAGAAGATTTCCAGTAAGGTATTTTTAAGCCACAGAAAATAAAAACAGGAAGCCCTAAAGATGGGTCTAACTTCTTCAATTCTTTTTTTCTAAAATGTTAGATAGTAAAACATACTGCAAGAAAACACAAATGTTAGCTATTAAAGTGCTTCTCTGTGAACTTACTAGAGTTCACCATCTAGTTTTTTTTTTTAAGATTTATTTATTTATTCATGAGAGACACAGAGAGAGAGAAAGAGAGGCAGAGACACAGGCAGAGGGAGAAGCAGGCTCCATGCAGGGAGCCTGACGTGGAACTTGACCCCAGGTCTCCAGGATCAGGCCCTGGGCCGAAGGCAGCACTAAACCGCTGAGCCACCCGGGCTGCCCCACCACCTAGTTCTTTTTTTTTTTTTTTTCACCATCTAGTTCTTAAGCAAAAATTTGATTTTCAGATTCCTTTATCCTAACTGCTTAAAGGGTCCTAAACCAAAAAGCATTTAATAAAATCAAGGATCTCAGAAGTGTGACCAGTAGATGGTCTTCTTAAGGCTGGGCCTGAATTTTAGGTAATCCTAGCCTCAGGAAACAGAATGAGGTTCTAAAGACACAAGTGAAAAGTAGATAGTTTTCCCTCATTTCATTTTGGACATAATCTCCCAACAAACTCATCTAGGTAATACTATGAATTTTTGCCTTTGAAGAGAATATACAATGTCTATTAATCAGACAGTAAATATTTCTTTAGCACCTAATCAAATGCTTAGCAGCTTAGCACCAGGGTAGATAGGGAAGAACAAAACAAGACAACTGTCTTCAAGAGGCTCTCAGTTCAGACAAAACCAATATGCTGAGTGGTACCCATCAGACACCTAACAGCTCCAAGAAATGAAAGATCCGGGCAGCCCAGGTAGCTCAGCAGTTTAGCGCCTTCAGCCGAGGGTGTGATCCTGGCGACCTAGGATCAAGTCCTGCATCGGACTCCCTGTATGGAGCCTACTTCTGCCTGTGTCTGTGCCTGTCTGTCTGTCTCTCTCTCTCTCTCTCTCACGAATAAATAAAGTCTTTTAAAAAAATAAATGAAAGATCCTTCTGCCCCGGAATATAATTATTACAAGAAGCTTCAAAAGCTTCATGTCAGACCTTGAACTGGATATACTTGGGTAAACCAAAATGGAAGAGGGTAACTAACGTGAGAAGGGGCTGGGTGACTAGAAGGAATGAATAAACATTTATTAAGTACCTGCTATCTGCCAGACACTTTACGAGATCATTCTATGAATGAACACAGAATATATAGAAGTTTAGCAGGCCTGGCTGAATGACTGTAAGGTTTCATACTAGAAAACAGTGGAAGAGATGGTTGCAAGTTGGGGATGGACCCCATTAACAAGGGTAGGAGGAGTCAGCAGGGCAGTGTGGTCTATGAGCAATTGCACAGGAAAAAGAGCCATGCTAACACCTCCCACTGGATAATCAGACTACAAGCAACAGATCTGGTCCAAACAGCTTAGAAAATTAATGACAATAGTTAGAATCAGAAATAGAATTTTAAAATTTATTTTTAAAATGTAAAAATGCTCTGAAAACTCTGACCCAATCGTCTTTTTATTAGATGCCACTCAGGTCCAATCTAAACTTCACAAAAACATGGATGAGGTTTTCACAAAGTATTTTCTTAATGAATAACACACATCTGGAGATTTTTAAAAGGGAATTAAGGTAAAAATGCCAAAAAAAAAAAGAAAAAAGGCACCGATTTCTATTCTTAAAATTAAATTCTAGTCACTATCATTTTAAATTTGCAGATCCTCGTTCTAAATTTTCATAAAACCTATTTTTTAAAATATTTTTTAAAATTTATTTATTCATGAGAGAGAGAGAGAAAGAGGAAGAGACACAGGCAGAGGGAGAAGCAGGCTCCATGCAGGGAGCCCGATGTGGGACTTGACCCTGGGGACTCCAGGATGAGGCCCTGGGCTGAAGGCGGCGCTAAACCGCTGAGCCACACAGGCGTCCCAAAACCTATTTCTAAGGCCAATTAACATGCTTTCTAGATTTACAGGGCATACATTTCCACAGGGGAAAAGAGCTACCTGCCATGTCTCTAGGCATCTGTAATTCACCAGTGGACAAATTAGAGGAGCTAAATGCTCATCTAGGGCCTAAAACCCACAAAGGGCAAATGCAAATGCATTTTTAAAAATTTGTCCTCTATCTATTGAGAGAAATACAGCTGAAAAATCAAAGCTAATTCCACTCATTATAAAGTTAGATCAACCCATGAGGCTTTAAGTACTGGTGGAATGTTTCTACAAAAAGCACATGTGGTAGTCAAGCTGTGATACTCTGGAGCCGGGAGGGCTAAGTGCAGGAACCCTACTCAGCTACCTTACTAATATAAGCTAATTAAACCAGTTCCTTCATCTGTAAAATGGGGAAAAATTAGAACCTATTCCAAAGGATTATTCTGAGAAATAAGTTAGATTACACATATAAGCATTTAGCAGAGTACCATTTTTGTTTTTATTTTGTATCATCAAGTAGTGAGACTTAATCTCTTTTTTTTAAAGATTTTATTTATTTATTCATGAGAGAGAGAGAGAGAGAGAGAGAGGCAGAGACACAGGCAGAGGGAGAAGCAGGCTCCATGCAGGGAGCCTGATATGGGACTCAATCCCGGGACTCCAGGATTGCACCTCGGGCCAAAGGCAGGTGCTAAACTGCTGAGCCAGGGATCCCCGAGACTTAATCTCTTAACCTTAATTTTGACTTTAGGACACAACCACTTCTTATAAACTTAGGAATGTCACTAATTCCACTTTGGTTAAATAGAACAGTTTATAAAAGTTTACATAACAGTAAGATAATTAATGTTTCAAACTGTACATTCTCTACAATAGGTATTTCTTACTAATAGGATTCTTCAAAGCCCAAACATTGCTCCCCTATGTAATAACAACAGAGATAATAGTTTTCTGGTATTGAGGGGTACCTGAGTGGTTCAGTTGGTTAAACGTCTGCCTTAGGCTTAGGTCATGATCCCAGGGTCCTGGTATGGAGCCCCCTCCCTTACCATTGGCTCCCTGCTCAGCAGGGCTGCTTCTCCCTTTCTCTCTGCCCTGCCCCCCCTTCCTTCTCTCTTTCAAATAAATAAATAAAATCTTTAAAAAAAAATAGTTTTCTGGTTTTTATACATCTTCTTACCAGCAGTTTATTCTTTGCTTTCTAGCAAATTCTTAGCCATGTGTCATTTTAACTGATGACCTTTACTTTTTAAAATGAATCTGTCTTGGCTAGTATCCCTTACTACATTTCTAAGCCCTTCCAGGTCAGAGAACCACATATTACATTTCTTTATGTTCCCACAACACCCTTGTAGTACAATAGTCAATAAACAGGTGACTAAAAGATGTGTCTAATTCCATTTCGGGGGCACCTGGGTGGCTCAGTGGTTGAGTGTCTGCCTTCAGCTCAGCTCGTGATCCCAAGGTCCTGGGATCAAGTCCCACATCAGGCTCCCTGCAGGGAGCCTCCTGCTCCCACTGCCTATGTCTCTGCCACTCTCTCTGTGTGTCTCTCATGAATAAATAAAATCTTTATGCTAATACACATATCCCCTGTTGCAGCCCATTATAGAAAATTTAACACAGTAATGAAAGACACTGAGAAAATGTGTAAACCCATTTAGCCATGCACATCATAAAAATTATAACAAAATCTACAGTAGGAATTTTTAAAAAGTAGCTAACTTCTAACCATTGGCAATTATTTTTATTCAGGTGATTTCTGTGGTGATAATTACTAGGAAGGGGAAAGCAAATATGAAAAATCTACCCCAAAGCTTCTTTTTTAAGAATATTAGAGGAAATATATATGAGTTGATACTCTAGATAGAGGAAATTGCTTAAAAAAGTCAGTAGGCACTGGGTATCCAATATCCCTTGGAAAGAGGACCAACAAAATGTGTCAAGTAAAAGCTCTCCATCAGCAAAACGTCCAGCTTGAAACCTAGACAACACACATCAGCCAGGAAGTTGTGAGATAAGGTTGCTCCTACTGCCCACTCTTTAAGGGTCTCAACTTACATCCCTCAAAGTTGGTTTTATCTCTGCCTCTTATACAGGGACATTATGAAAGAACCTTTCATTAGGTGATTACCTTGCAGGAGGAAAGTCAGACATGCCTCTGAATGAACACATTTTCCTCTTGCTGAAGCCGTGGAGGACACACTGCTTCACAAGAAGTGATTTAGGGAAATGAATCATTTGCTAAAAAGCTCAGTAGCAAGTTACCTTACTGTCCTGTTGCTTGTAAAAGTCTGGTTGGTATGGGGAGCAGGGAAAATTAAATTTAAAGAAAAATTAAATGAGCAGCTCAGAACAAAGGCAGTACTGTGCCGTATCTGAACACAGGCTGGAAAGGAGAGCTGGGTTCCTGTCCCCTAACTGCCACAAACCAGCTTTGTGATCTTGAGCAAACCAGGTAACACCTGAGGGCTTCAGCCTGGCCCTGTACAGGAGGGCTGGATCCTATCATCCCTGTGATCCTTCCAGCTCTAATAGTCTGTGAATATAGCGAGGAATACTCAGTTGCAAATGGGCACCAGTCCTTCTCCTACTGCAGCAAATTGTAATCTTCAAAATGTATCTCACGGTCTGTGAGCTGGTTAGAAACCACCCTGATGTATGCAGGATTTCAGTGGTCATCCCTTTAACAAATGGCCCTAAAACTAGGATGGGATTAAAGGCACCGGGCTACAAAAGAAATTCTCCCGGCTGTCTACATTTGAGACACCCGATTTCACATTTTAATAGAATCATATTGCTTTTTCAAGAGTGAAGGGCAAATGGAGAGTAAAAGAAGCATGAAGCTGACTATCAATATTTTAGGTTAGGTATCGAACAGCCTCTTTCAACCATTGAGAGAAAAGCAGAGCACAGTTGTTATTATTCTTGGGAATAAGAAATGCAAGCCCCAGATTCTTCCCCAAAATGACTTTTGCCTCTACGTCACTTTGCTGCCTCTGTCTGTGCACGTCTGTTGTAGTCACCATCACCTAAGATACTGACTCCTAAATTCTTAGTTTTGCTGCTAGGTGCACACAAGCTGCAGTGTTGTAAGAGTGACTGTGCTCTGGGAAGGATAGTGGACCTCAGGATGGCCCAGCCACTCCAACGCAAATTATGTTCTTCTCTGTCATGTACATATTTTTAAATCTTCAAAGTTTTAAGTACAAGGGAGTATTTTTAATTTAAAAGGATTTCACGGAAAAAAATCTGAGGTTTGAAAGTAGGAATTCGCAAGCTATATGAATAACACTAATTTCTTGATGACTGATTTTGACTAAATGCTCCTAAACGGAGGCATTGCTTCTAGTTACATCAGACACCAGAATAAAGTCTTCCATAGGCGGCAGGGTTTCAAGGTTGAAACGGTACACTCTTGATTGCTCATTCAGCAGTTAATTTCTTCACAAACCAAAAATGTGATGGCACCACATGAACAGCAACATGGAAAAATGACTGAATCTCATTAGGGAAAGAAATTAATATTTTACAGAAAAAAACGAGATTCTTTTTTTTATTCAAGAAAACAGCCAATAGAAGAGTTCTCTGCTTTGCTATTGTTGCTGTTCAGTTTTGGGGGTTTTGTTTTGTTTTGTTTACAAACATCTCTTTTATTTTATATAAATTCTCAATTCCAACAAGGTTATCCTACATAAATTCAGAGGACTTGGATGCTATGTAAAAGATGTCAAGGCCAGATGGTTTTCACAGGAAGCTTTCAGGTCTTTCTCAACTACAGTAAAAGCAAAATATGTTTCCCTGAATTTTTGTTTTAAACACTATTCAACAAATCCCAAAAAACTAAATGTTTTAAATTTGTCCTTGAAAAGAAGAGTTGAACACTAAAGAGATTCTAGCACATGTTTACTTCTTAGTAAGATGGTGAACATCAGTGAAGTAATCATTAATCATAGCTGGATTCCTCAGCAAAGATGTTGGCATTGGCACTCCAGCTAGTCACCAGCAATGACTACAAGTAACTCTAGAACACTGACGCCTATTTGATTTGGAAGAGAATAAGGAACGCAATGATGCCGGCAGTGTACTGTTCCCCTCAGCTGGTCTCAGGGCCTTGCAACATCACAGGCCCAGCTGTTAACCAGATGCAAGCACATGGCTGCAGAGTGTGAGAATAAAAATATTAGCATTATTTCCATGGAACTAGTCACATGGTTATTATAGAAACAATCAGCATTTAGCGTACTACAATATTTGTTTTGTTCCTAAATGTTCTAACTCCCTAGGGGAAAAATTATCTTTATTTGAAAAAGGTTAAAAATGAAAGTATTTGTTATATATCTTTGCTGGAAAATGGTGGGAAATAGATTTGTTGAAACCATATGGAAAGGAAGAGGGAATCAATTAAAAACAGAAATCTAATAAATCTAAAATATTTCCAAATGAAATGCTTGTGGTAAGCTAATTTCTTGTAAACACTGCACTCAAGTCACTTGAACAGTCCCAGATGGTGAACTGACTTTGTGGTCTTAAAATAAAAGTCAGCCAAAAAACCAAAGCGACTACAACTTTATTTCAATGTAGTGGGAAACAAGAATCCATAATCAACCAATATATTACATTTTTTCCTTCGTGAAATTTAAGAGGTTTGTGGGATATTACTAACTAGACTATGTCATTTAAATTTATATGTGCTAAATGAAGAAAAAATTAAATGACAATACTGAAGTTAGAAGATAAAATCTACAATATTTATAATTTAGGAAAATAAAAATAGTTCTAAAAATGCCACAGTTGTGAAATGTACTACGAGGTCTAATTTCTATACCACCATGAATTTTCTTCAGTTGACATCTATATGATTGTATTAAAGAAAAATTCAAAACTCATCTTTTTTTAAATTGAGTTATATGACCGAAGTTATAGCAGGTGGAATAAACATCTACCCTACCTGCTCCTCTGTCAATAATCCATTGGAAGATTCTGGCACAGACTGCATGGGGAGAAGCTGGCACAGTGTGCCTAAAAGTAAAGCAACTTCCTTCATACTTCGCCAACAACATACCAGCACCATCTGAGCAGTTACATCACATGTTTTTCTTTCTTTACCTTAAAAAAAAAAAAAATTGATTGCAACACTAGACACTTGATTACTCACATTCCAAGTTTCTTAGAATAAGATTATTCATGATTTCCCCAAGAATAGCCTGCTCAAACAAACCAATTGTTACATTTATTCATGAGAAAACAACTAACATTTGTTGAGCATGTGCTCCAAGTAAGAATCATGCTAAGTATTTGATATACTATTTTCAAAATAAATTTTAAAATAAAACAATACCATTCCAAAATTAATTTCTAATTTTCAGAAATTAATGAAACGAACTCTTTCTGCCTCTTAGTCATCCATACATTATGACTATAATGAATATACTTCATTATACATCTTGGTGAAGGTGGCTGTTATATCAGTAAAGGGGCAGGATAAAACTTTTAAAATCAAAAGAAAATATAAATTCTCTTTCAAAATATATTTAAGCTCCACAGCCAATAAGCACCAATTATGCTTACTCTCTTTTTCTAGCTTTTAGAATATTTTAGTATTAACATAAAAAAAATCCAAGACAATTTAAAAGGCAAGTTAACAAACCAATATTTATAATACCATTTGTGTTAAGAGCCCACTAAACTAAAAGAATAAATGTACATATACATCAATACACAGAACAGACCTAAAAGCACATACTACACTCAAAAGGGAAGAAGTGGGATGGGGAGTAAATGAAGGACTTTTATTTTTTTTGTTCTTTTTTTAAAGATAAAATGTAAACACTGAATTGAAATTTTAATTAAGGCTCTAAGTTGTTTTTAATTCAAGTTTACCTCTGGGTTGCTTGCAACTATTACAACAAGCATATATTTAGATGTTATAGTGTGTAATTTAAAAAAAAAATCACAGAGAAACTTTTATGACAATATCTCCATCTAGTGGAGACTGTAGAATATGTAATAAGTCACTAAGATATTACTGCTGATGACTTCTTATAACATTATAGAAAATAATAAAATTATGAGAAAACAAGCAATAAGAACACAACTTCTGGAGGCTTGATACAACAGGGTAGTTCACATTTTACTGGGTAATAAGGCTGATCTCCCTTAAGTCAAGGCTGCTTGACTATAAGGACCCTCACTGCAGACAGCGAAGCACACCACTGGGAGAAGCTGACCCGGGCCGGAACCCAAACTGACAGAGTGCGTCACCCAAGCTGACGGAGCGTCACTGCTCTTCCACCACCTGACTGCCAAGACTGCTCTTCTACCACCTGACTGCCAAGACACTCTTTTGAGTGTTAGCACTCAAAGGCTTTCTGTTGTAGCACCTTATATACTGCACTAGGGTGCACCATTTCCTGGGAAAAGTCTTAGAACTTATTCTCCAAAATAAATCATTGATCAGCTCAAAGACTTTACTTTCTAGAAATGTTCTGCAAACATCTGCAGCCTGATTTAATATATAAAAAGCACATTTTGTACATTATGTCACTGAAATCCCCATTACAATATTACAATATTTACTTTATACATGCTACCTTTGACCTCTGCAGAAGCACCAATATTCTGCACACTGACATTCAAGTCTTCCAAATCAAAGCTATCATGTTCTTTGAGTATTTTGGCTTGAGTGAAGTAATCATTAGTATCTCGTGGCTGAATCTCATTTAGAATCGTCTGTAAGCGGCTTGCTGACTCTGAGGGAGAGAGAAAGGAGTGCATAAACCCCAGTTCCACAGCCCATGCAGATTTCCCTTTGGAGTATTAGCCCTTGGGATTTTTTTTTTTTTTTTTGAGAGAGGAAGAAGAGGAAGGAGGAGAGGAAAAGGGAGAATCTTAAGTAGGCTCCATGCTCATCGGGGCTCCATCTCACAACCCTGAAATCATGACATGACCCAAAATCAAGAGTCCCACACTTAACCTACTAAGCCACCCAGGTGCTCCAAATTTTATAATTTTTTTTTGATCTTACGTTCCTTTATTATATATTTTATATACGTAAATGTTTTATGTACAATAATTGGTTCTATCAAATAATCATACCAAGGCCTTCTACTAGTAATCTTCCTCAAGATAGATTCAGGTGAGATTAGGTATTTGCGCACTTTGTGGATTAACCACACTTGAGACTTCGTGATTGATTTCAGTTTTGAGGCCATGCACACAATTCAAAATATACACAAACTGGATTAAGGCGATAAAGTGGGCTGAAAGAAAGCACAGGACTTGGAACGAATAAACTGTATTTTGCTTGCATTGGAGCCACCATGTGACCAGCAAATGCTTTGTGCATCTCAGAACTGTTTCACTGTAGTGTGAGGCTTCTGAATGCCTACAGTGACCGTGTGGTGGGTGTCAGACACTGCTGGACACTTCATTGAGGGCTCATTTCTTCTCTGCCTCTTCTTTCTTAGGTTCTTGTTTCAGTTTGTAATCAGCCAGGGCAGCCTTGATTGCATCTTCAGCCAGCATGGAGCAGTGCAGTTTCACGAGGGGAAGGCAGAGATCCTTGGCGATGTCCGTGTTCTTGATGGTCAAGGCTTCCTCCACCGTCTTGCCTTTTACCCAGTCAGTGGCTAAAGAGCTGGAGGCAATTGCAGACCCACAGCCAAATGTTTTAAACCTGGCATCCACAATCTTCCCCTTTTCATCCACTTGAATCTGTAATTTCATTACGTCACCACATGCTGGAGCCCCCACCAATCCAGTTCCAACATTTTTTGATGTCTTGTCAAGGGACCCACGTTTCTAGGATTTTCATAATGATCAACAACCTTCTTGTGATAGAGCCGGGCCGGAGCCAACAGTTCCTGGGCAGGCAGGCGCGGGCTCCGGAGCAGCAAGGCCAATGCTGCCTGCCTCAGACGGCCAGTTCCAGCCACCTCCATCTTCCGGGCTTGCGCCTGCCCAAATTTTAAATTTTTAATACTTGATAATCAGGTCTATTAGAAGGGACTCATGGGGTAGATAATGAGAAAATTATTTACATATGGTCTTCATGACACTTGAGTGTGCTTTTAAAATGCAGGAAAAATTTTACATTGGCTAAAGACAGGACAAAACAACCACCAGAAACTCTTCATAGGACAAAGACCACCATCTCATTTACATTGCTTTTCTTAGTGTTGTCCAAGAATCTCAAATATGGTGCTCAAGCATGTGAAAAAAGAACACTAAACTTCAGGCAATTTTGTATGAAGAGGTAAGAAACCACCACAACAAAAACAATCTTTAATACAATATTGGACTGTCAACTATACTTCAATTAAAAATTAAAAAAAAATCTTTTATAGCCCAGGAATGTTATACAGACTTCAAATCTGACTTTGAAATGCATTAGGTAATATACTGCTTTCTAAGTATGATTTATAAGTCCTAGTATTATATTGAACTTCATTTTTATTCCTTAAGCACTCAATGGATTAGGAAATGTTAAGCTCTGCAAATGCAGCATTTTGTTTACTGCTGACTCTCCAGAGCCTACAACAGAAACTGGCTCACGGCAGAGGTTCAGTAACATGGGCTAAGGGAATGAACAGCTAACAAGGTAATAAAGAGCTAGCCAGGCTCAGACGGCTTAAGAAAAAAAAAAAACAAAAACAAAAACAAAAAACAAAAAAAAAACGGCTAGTCACCTGAAATCAATTAACAAATCAAAGAACAGGTATTTTATATACCTATTAAATACACTTACATTTTAGGATCTTATAGGGGATACAAAGACCCAAAGTGCTGTCATGATGATTCAACCAACATCTTATGTTCACTTGTGGCTTCCAAGAAATATTGCCAAAACAAATTTTGACAGCCATGAAAAAGTAACACTGGCTCCAAATAGAAACCATGGAAAGACTAAGAAAAAAAGGATGATCAGAGTAAAATTTTACCCATTCATTTTTATGGCTTTCAGGAAAGATTTCAAGGAATTCAGAATGCATGGTGGATAATGTGGGACAGAAACAGAAATGGAGACAACCAGAAGAGAAAAGAAAAGCAAAATCAAGGAAAAGTCTGTGGGCCACAGACTGTTTTTGAGACCAACAGATATTTTAAAACTTTAACCATAAACAGAATTTTAGCATACTCTGTAGGTGACAAATACTCAAGATTTCTCATCCAGAATATACTGGTACTTGCCTGATCCAAATCTTAGCTTTCAGATTGGATGTTCCTTTTTCCCAAGTACTGTTTAAGTAGGAAAACTAAATCACCAAATTTCGGTGGACTACCAGCTAAAATAAACAAGTAACTGTGTCTTAGTATCATGAACCATCACCAATCTGCCAATTCATTTTTGGTAAAGAACAAAACATTCTGTGCAAACATACAACTCCAGGTTACTTAGTTGGGTATTTATGATATGCTCAGAGTGTTTTCAATACAAGCCTCTCATTTGTACTCCAAAATGCATTCACAAACTTTGTTTCAACCCCAAATGTGTACTTTTCACAACCAATCCCTTCTGGCTGTTACAGTGCAGGTATATATATGCCACCTATGACATCCCACGCACTGAGTGGGATCACTTTCAGTAATTCCTCATTCATTGATTTATTCATTATAACAAATATTTATTGTGTACCTATTTCTACCAGGCACTTGCTAAGGACAAGGGAGGAAAATATTGATAAAATCTCTCTTAAATGCAACAACTCCATGAAAAATACTTCGGGAAGAAAAAGAGACAAGACTGGCAAAGAGCCCAATTACTACAGGACCTGGTCTGAGGTCACTCAAGCATTTTTAAAAAGGGGCATGAGGTGGCATAGAACACAAGGGTTAAGTAAAGATTATGTGTAACATGAATTACATAAGTAGAAAAGATTTCTGCAGATACAGTATAAAAAGAAAATGGAAGGAGCTAAAAGTAGATGGGGGGAAACCAGTTGGGAGGCCCCTGGAGTCATCCAGACAAGAGTGATAAAAGCCTGGAGTAAGGTAAGATGATGCAGATAAAAAGAAAACATATTTGAAAGATATTTAAGGGGTACCACTGAAAGAACATGAGGACAGGCAAGATATAAGAAACAAAAGAGAGATGTCAAACAGTTCTAGGATCCTGACTTAAACAAACAGGAGGCCCATTTGCAAAGACACAGGGGTTGGGAGGGAAAAGGCAGATGAAAGTTCATGAGTTCAATTTAGGGCATTCTGAGTATCTCCTTCTATTTTTTTTTTTTTAATTAAATGGTCTTTGTATGTCAAATGCTCTTTGCCAATTCCTGATTCCTAACAAGCTGCCATCTCTGACTAAACCTCAACTCCCTAATTTATAGTGCCCACAACTCCCAGTCCCAGCAGCTACCTGGTAGGTGGTGCTCTGAAATGACAATATTAGAAAATCCAATTTACCCTAGAAAAGGAAGTACCTTGCTGACCACCTGGTTTATTTATTTGTTTTGGTTCTTTTTTTAAGAGTTAAAGACATTACTAAAGTGGTAGAATTATCACTAGTCAGAATAAATAATTTCTTGATCCATCTAGTTAGCTTCTGTATCTTCCCAAAGGAAAGATTTGCAGGAGAAGGAGGGTAATAAACAAAAAATACAGAAATTCTAGCTTGTTTCATTTGCTGACCTGAATCAGTGTCCATTGGGATGAGGCCCTCTGGAGAGGAACTCTGAATGACTGGAGACACCACAGCAGAAAGCCTATATGACATCAAAAGGAGCTTCTCAATCACAGGTCTCCATTCACTCACCAACTGCAGGTTGCTGCAATAAGAACAGTAAGGAAATTTACATTAAAAGCAAAATTCAAAATCCTTAAATGGAAATGAATACATCAAAGAAGGTAAATCTGTTTCAAATTTGTACAATCTATGCAGTATTTAAAATTAAAAAAATATGTGTATATAGGTACATTTTAAAATCTAATTTTTAATTACCGTTAAGGCAATCCATTCCTTTCCTAGGACACATTCCAATAAGAGTTTAAAGCTCAAATGTGTGCTCAGGAGAGAGCTATGGCTATACTTACTTTAGAGATAACCTCTGCAAAGCTCCTGTTACACAGTGGACTCGCCCATACAGTGGAAATGATGCTGCTGCCTGAAGCAGAGAATTTTCAGCCTGAGATACTTCTTCCTCAAGATTTTCCAACAAGCATTTGATAACTAAAAAAAGCAAACAAAAATCCAAAGTAATGCCAGCTTAAAAACACAGTTGTAAATTTGGGAATAGCTACTCGTCCTCACAAAACATCCAATATCAATCAAACTTTGTCAGAGTTTTGGGGGTTTTTTAAAGATTTTATTTATTTATTTGACACACAGAGAGAGAACAAGCACAGGAAGGGGAGGAGAGGGAGATGAATAAGCAGGCTCCCTACTGAGCAGGGAGCCCGATGCAGGACTCAATCCCAGGATCCCAGGATCATGACCTGAGCTGAAGGCAGATACCCAACTGACTGAGCCACCCAGGCACCCATGTTGGAGGTTATATATTAAAAAGAGATCTTTCAAAGTTATCTAGCCTGTTAGGCATTTCCAGTTAAGACAGATTGTGTCTGTCTCTAACTTCCTGGATCCATTTTCATCATTTACTCTGAATCAGTCCTCCTAGATATACTCTGAGTATCAGATCCAGGCCCATGTGTCATGTGCTATTTGAACAGTTGTTGTTTTGTTTTGTTTTTAAATGGCTTCCTTGAGATAGAATTCACATACTATGTAATTTATACATTTAAAGTGTACAAGTCAATGGTTTTTAATATATTCACAGACACTATGCAATCATCACTACCATGAATTTTATTTTATTTTTTTTTAATTTTTATTTATTTATGATAGGCACACAGTGAGAGAGAGAGAGAGGCAGAGACACAGGCAGAGGGAGAAGCAGGCTCCATGCACCGGGAGCCCGACGTGGGATTCGATCCCAGGTCTCCAGGATAGTGCCCTGGGCCAAAGGCAGGCGCTAAACCACTGCGCCACCCAGGGATCCCACTACCATGAATTTTAGAACATTAATCCTCCCCACCTCAATAAACCCTCACTCTTTGTCAGTCACTCCCCTCCCTGCACCTCTCACCTTCTCCAGCCCTAAGCAAATATTTATCTATTTTTTGTCTCTATAGATTTGCCTATTCTAGATATACATAAACAGAATCATAAAATACTTGGCTTCTTTCACTTAGTGTTTTCAAAGTTCATCCATATTATGGCATGTACAACTACTTCATTCCTTTTTATGGCTGAATATATTCATCATATGAATATACTACATTTTATTTATCCATTTATCAGTTGATGGACAAGGGAATGGTTTCCATTTTTTGGCTATTATGAATAATGCTGCTGTGAACATTCACATACAAGTTTTCGTTTGGGCATAGTTTTCATTTCTCTTAGTATGTGCCCAGTATAGACTAAATGTTTGTGTCCTTCTCAAAACTCCTATTTGAAGCCCCAAGCCCATATTTGAAAGTGGAGTTTTTAGAAAGAAATTACATTTAGATGAGGTCATGAGAGAGTAGGACTCCCATGTCAGGAATATAGTCCTTATAAGAAGAGAGATCAGAGTTTGCTTTCACTCCTTCATGTGAGCACACAGCAAGAAGGCGTTGTTTGAAGCCAGGGAGAGGGTTCTCACCAGGAACAGAAATTGCTTACACCTTAATCTTGAACTTCCCCGCCTCTAGAACCCTGACAGATAAATGTTTATTGTTTAAGCTGCCCAGGCTATGGTGTCTTGTTACAGCAGCCTGAGCATAGAACTATGGGGTCTTATGGTAACACCATGTTTAACTTTTCAAGGAACTGCCCGACTGTTTTCCAATGCACCATTTTACATTCCTTCCAGCAGTGTGCGAGGGCTGTACTCTTCCCACATCCCAACATCTGTTGTCTATTTTCTTGTTTATAGCCACCCTACTGGGTGTGAAGGGCTTCCTCACTGTAATTTTTTTTTTAAGATTTTATTTATTTATTTGTGAGAGAGAGGCAGAGGGAGAAGCAGGCTCCATGCTGGGAGCCCGATGCGGGACTTGATCCCAGGACTCCAGGATCACGCCCTGAACCCAAGGCAGATGCTTAACCACTGAACCAACCAGGCATTCCTCCTCACTGTAATTTTGACTTGCATTTCCCTACTGGTTAATGATGCTGAGCATCTTTTCCTGTGATTATTTTTCACATTTACCTTTTATGGAGAAATACCTATTCAGATTCCTTGTCCATTTTAAAATTTGGTTATACATTTTTTACTAGTGAGTTGTAAAAATTCTTTATATATTCTAGATACAGGTCCCTTATCAGATAAAGGAACCACAAATATATTTCTCATTCTTTCCAAAAGGTTTCCCTATTTCCCAACCTTTCAAAAGGTTGTCTTTTCGCTTTCTTAATGGCACCCTTGACAAACACAAGTTTCAAATTTTCATTAGGTCCTATTTGTCTATTTTTTCTTTGCTTGTGCTTTCGGTGTCAGATCTAAGAAAAAACTACCTAATCTAAGATCACAAAGATTTATACTCATGTTTTCTTCTAAGAGTTTTATTGTTTTTAGTTTTTGCATTTAGGTCTTTGATCCATCTTAAACTAATTTTTGTATATGGCATTAAGTAGGTGAGTTAACTTCATTCTTTTGCATGTAACTATCCAATTATCCCAGCATAGTCAATGTCTCCTCTCACCACTCAAGAGTTATAAATTTTAGAACTGTGTATAACCAGTAAATTACTAACATTTAATATATATACAAAGTAGGAAAAAGACAAACAACCCTACAGAAGACCAAACAAAGAACATGAACAAGCATTTCACAGAAGGGGAGAAATGAATGGCTTATAAGCACTTATAAGTAAAAAAGATGCTCAATTACATTAGCAATTGGAAAAATGCAAGATGAAACCACAAGATACCTTTATATTCCGCAAATATTTAAAATCTGACAATAGCAAGTCATGATGATGATGTAACACACCACAACTCTCAAAATTTATTGGTGGGAATGTAATTTAAAAATTTAGCATTGTCTAGTTAGGTTGAAGATGCACATACTTTATGACTAGGCTATTCTACTTTTTTTGTTTACCATAAACTCTTAGACATATCTATTAGAAGAAATATATACGAGAATATTCACATCAGCATTATTTATTTAGAAAAAAGAAGTCAATCAACAGGAGAATATATTGAAAAAATATAGTAAATTTGTAAAATACCTATGGTATTATTTATATAAAATTCAAAAATCAAGTAAAAGTAAATAACATATTGTTTAACGATATATACATGGGTGATAAAAATCTTGGTAAAAACAAAATGAAAGACTGACATAAAACACAGGACAGTAATTATATGGCAGGGAGAGGGAGCTAGGATAGAAGATAAGCTTTAAAAGTATGGGTGCTAAAAAAAAAATATGGGTGCTGTTGTACTTCTTAATATTATCATCTGGCTTGGGAATAAAACTTGTGACATATTTATACTCTTACTATTTAAATCTTATAAATATTTAAATATTTTTGAATGCTTGAAATATTTCATGGAGTTTTTAAATGACTTGAATTTGAAAGCCTGTACATGAACAGTTTACCCTAAGTGCAAACCTCTTCCTGTCAAGTATCAGGATCTCCTTTTAAATCTAACCCTGAAGCAACTAGAGTGGACAAGTGCCATCTTCCATGGCACTGTCACCTCTCTAACCCCATTTCCACCAAAACTACCCATGGCCTCCTAATTTTCTCCCATTATTAGTTGTCTTTCTTGGGGCATTTTTTACCATCTTGGAGAGAACAGTGTTTAACACTCTCCCTGCATCTGACCTCACTCTCTCTTTTTTCTTAAATAAAAGTCCATATCAAAATTCATGCAAAAATCCAACTACAAAATGAAGATTTACTAGCACAAATTTTTTTTTTAAGATTTTATTTTTTTATTCATGAGAGACACAGAGAGAGAGGCAGAGACAGAAGCAAGCTCCCCACAAGGAGCCCGAAGCAGGACTCAATCCCGGGACTCTGGGATCATGCCATGAGCCAAAGGCAGATACTCAACCACTGAGCCACCCGGGCATCCGTACTAGCACAAAATTAAGCACATGAATGCCCAATAAATATTTGTTGGAAATCACTAAACCTAAGCCAACCAACTAGGTTTTAGAACTGGCTGTGTGAGAAGAATAAAAGGTAGGGGTGTTAACAGTCAGTTAAAACATAAACCTGATAGACAAAGGAACTCTGCTCTTTATAGAAATAGCAAAGATTATCTGGTTATAGTCATAGTAAAATTTTTGCCAAAAAACCACTACATTTTTGGTAGAGAAAGAGGTCCTATTTAAATAAGAGCTTTATTAATGTACATTTGTATAATCTACTTATTTAACATGAACCCTCTGTTTAGGAACAGTGTTATAGCTGAGTACCCTATTTACCTGCAAAAGAGAAATTCACAGTATTCTTATATGCTAGTAAACCCTTCGATAAAAAATAAATAAATAAAATAAACATTTAACCACTAGCTGTGCTAACTAAATGAGTAGTGAGTAAGATACTGGTTTTGATAAGCAACAGCAAAAGGTCATTTATTCAATACAAACCCATTAATGTGTTCCTTTCCACCACAATAGCAGACTTATCGCCATCTCCGCACGCAGTCTGCTGAGTTTTTAAGGAGTCAGACAGAGATGAGGGCAGGACATCCTGCCAGATTAAGAAGTTCAACAGGTAGGAAGCTGTCACACAGTCGTATGGTTTAGTGCTTGAGCTGAGCTCCAATGCTGCTTGGAATAAGCCTTGTAGTTTCTCTGAATCCTAGAAAAAGCACAGACTCAGTAACTGTCACTGAAATAGTTCAATTTGAAGTAATAGTACATATTTAAAAAGAGAGCCTGCCACATAAGTATAACTCAATATAAATATTAATTCAATTCCCTTATTCCCAGAATATAGGTTAGACTTTTTTTAAATAATAATTACTGATTATTATTACTCAGCTCCAGTAATGAGGATCTTGAAAATAACTTCAGTTGGGAAATTCCACATTGATAAAGCTTTTTTTTTTTTTTTTAAGATTTTATTTATTTATTCATAGAGACGCAGAGAGAGAGAGAGAGGCAGAGACACAGGCAGAGGGAGAAGCAGGCACCATGCAGAGAGCCCAACATGGGACTTGATCCAAGAATCTCCAGGATCACGCCCTGGGCTGCAGGTGGTACTAAACCGCTGCGCCACGAGGGCTGCCCAAGCTTTTTTTTTTTTTTTAAGTACCTCTTTCTCCAGCAAAAGTATGCTTTTTCCTGTAGAAATTCTGCTATAACTATGGCCAGATCATCTTTGTTACTTCCATATAGACCAGAGGTTTTTTTGTACATTGAAGCTTATTTTACCTGGGCAGCATAGTCCTATACTTTCCCCATCCCCTTTCCATTCAGCTAATTCAATGGAAAAAAAAAAATACAAATTCACACAAAAGTACAAATCCACCAGGCTATTCCTGGTGAAAATCCATGTATATGTGTGGAAAATAAAGTGACCACATCAGTCTCAGAAATTCTGCATCAGAGCTCCCACACCTGTATCTCATGGAAACATCTACCCACATGCATGTCCTAAAGACAGAACAAAGCAAGTTCACTGTAACACACATAGAACGGCACTAGGCTGAGGTCAGGAGACATGGGTCCTCATCCCAATTCCACAGTTGTCAAACTGCATGTTCAGTACGCTGGGTCTCAGGGTTTCACTGCTCAATAATATTAATTCTATTAGGATTGCTCCAAAATTGTATAATACAAGGGAAAAGATCACTCTAAGCTTAATTTTTAATTTGGTTATAGGTACATCAATGTTTACTTTAATTGGGAATCTACTCATTTCTAATAGTTATCAAACATACTGATTCAAATACCAGTTTCTTTTAGTTTAAATTCTTTGCCATTTGATATGTTTAATTTTCTGTGACCTAAAAAACTTAAAAGATAGTGGTCAAAATTTTAAATCTAAATAAATATTAGAACGAACCAACTAAAAGCCATTTTTTGGTAACTAATAGTTAAATCCCTGAACTGCTTAACTAACAATTACTAAGAAACACAATAAATAGCGTTTGAAGTCTAAAATATATTTGTTCTATCATCTGAGGTCAGTAAAAATATAATATAAAGACCTTGGATATGTAGTTCCACGAGAAAAAAGGCCAACAGACTATGTGAGAAATAAAGTTATGTACTACAAAGATATGCCATCAAAAATGTATATACACAGGTCCTTTGAGAGAGTAGTTAAGATTCAAAAATGTTTTAAAGTTATCTCAAAGGACTAAGTCTTTCATATAGGTGCTATAATATGCCCCTCTACATTTGAGATATTCCCAAAATGTTTGCCAGGAATGTGTCATAGTTATATATATATATATATATATATATATATATATATATATATATATACACACACACACACACACATACATACACTGTATAGTTATTATATATATAAATTATTCTATTACATATTATATATATTTATATATAATATATATTATTATATATTATATATAAATACAATACAAAGGGCAAGGAGGATGGGAAAGTGGAAGAGGAGAAAGGAAGAGAAAGGATCTCCTTTAAAAACTCTATATGGTACAAAAGTTAGAAGCCTAAGTACCAAAAGAAGCTTCTGCTTACCATGGCACCTGAAACACCCACAAGGATAAATGGACTCTAGAGAACAACTCCTAATAGGGACCCAAGTTAGAAAAAATGCTCTAGGATCTTGGCAGTGCCATTTGGAAGCCATGGAACCAGACACCTTGTGCTCTCTGACATGTACTCCTACAGAATCCCACTGTACCTACAAACTGTCCTGCCCGAAATAGAGCCTCAAGGCCAGAGAACAGACCATAGCTCAGCTGCAGCCCTAGTAGGTGTCTTTGACCTCTATGTAGCTCTAAAAGAAAGCCACAGCAAGGCTCTGCAGCCAGTAAACCCACAGCTGCTGGTGATCTCACAGCCCCAGAACATACCTCAAGTGGAGGGGGTGGCTGCTTCCATCCCCATGCTGTGCCCTCACTCCCAAGCCCACCTTTGCTTCCCACCCCACGGTTGGCAATGCCAGCTGTCAGGAAGAGAGTAGGGGCTGGGGATGGGGGAGAAGGCTGGAGGAGAAAACTGCTGTTAACCTCAAGTACTCAGAGTTTCAGTCTCAGTTTAGCTATTGCTTGTTGGAAGATCAGAAACCTGCTCTCTGCCTCACTTACACTCAGCTTCCTCGTCAACTTAGCAAGGATCTTATCTCAAAAAAAAAAAAACGCAAGTTACTGTAAGTGGTGTGTTTTGACAGAATATTACCGTGTCCACAGGAACTGGGGAGACTGCTGGTAACTGAAAGCTACCAATAACCTTGTGAGCAGTAAAACTACTGCTTCATGCACCTCCCTTTTTGTCAAAAACAGTAAGAAAAGCAAAGCTGGTGGATTTGAACTTTGTTTTCTTTTATGGTATTTCCTCCTTCTATATCATCCATCCCTACCTCCTCCAACCTTCCTCCCTGCAACAGAAGTATTAGTAACTAAAACAGAAGATGTAAGAAGGTAGGTGCAAAAAACCTGCACAGTCCACAGATTGCTTGATTTGCTGCTGAAATTGAAAGTTTTCATGCATATATACCACATTCACATTTATACAGGAAAAGTCCAAATACCTGAAATTGTACAACTGTCTTTGGTAACTTCATTAGAAGATCAAATGCTAAAATCTTCACTTCTTCAAAAGTGCTGGTAAAACATTCCATTAGTGTTTGGAAACGACCAACATCAATATCATGACTCAGCTGATACACTGCTTGGACTTGACCTAAAAAAAGAAAAAGATTTAAAAATGAATACAAAGGGTACCTGGCTCAGTCAAACATCTGCTTTCAGCTCAGTCATGATCCTGGGGTCCTGGGATGGAGTCCCTCGTCCCTGCTGAGCAGGGAGTCTGCTTCTCTCTCTCCCTCTGCCCCTCCCCACCATTTGTCCTCTCTCTCTCTCAAATAAATAAAATCTTTAAAATAAATAAAAGTGAATACAAGAGGAGGCGCCTGGCTGGCTCAGTTCGTAGAGCATGTGACTCTTGATCTCAGAGTCATGAATTCAAGTTCACATTGAGCATGGAGCCTATTTAAATAAATAAATAAAAATTTTTAAAAAGTTAATAAAAGAAAAAGGAAATCAACATGTTGAAGTTATCTGACCACATTTACAGAAAACTGGTGCAAAGAGTTACACTTCATAGTTCACCCACATTAGCATTAAAATAATAATTTTTCCTTAATTTATTTCCTAAAATGATAAGTATTAAAGTTCCCCAAATAAAAAATATCTCCTAAAATTTTGTTTAAAACCACTTCATTCTCTTTCAAAAGACTGTATTTTATACAAGAGATTCCTAAGTTAGTTTCTTTTTTTTTTTTTTAAGATTTTATTTATTTATTCATGAGAGACAGAGAAAGGCAGAGACACAGGCAGAGGGAGAAGCAGACTCCATGCAGGTAGCCTGATGTGGGACTCAATCCTGGGAATCCGGGATCAGGCCCTGAGCCAAAGGCAGATAGATGCTCAACCGCTGAGCCATCCAGGCATCCCAGTTTCTTTTTTTAAGATTTTATTTATTTATTAATGAGAGACAGAGAGAGAGAAAGAGAGAGGCAGATACTTAGGCAGAGGGAGAGGCTCCCTACAGGGAGCCTGATGTAGGACCCTATCCCAGGACCCTGGGATCATGACTCGAGCCAAGGCAGCCGCTCAACCACTGAGCCACCCAGGTGCCCCCCTAAGTTAGTTTCTAAATAAATGAAAAGAAATAAATTTAGGAATACGTCTTTTAAAAAAATCTTCGTAAAATGTCTTGTCCTAGAATCCAAAGTCCTACAACGTCTTAGTTATTAAACCTATACAGAATAATTGATACAATGATTTATCCTAATAAAATTATTTGGCATCAAAGATAAAGGGATCTTCTGGCCATTCAAACACAAAGCTCAAGTGACATCTCCAAAATGGAAAACATTAAGCTGGCTTAACTCTTCACCTTAGCAACATGTAGTGCTATAAGATACTGGAGCAGTGCTTACAACATCCTCAGAGAAAGTTGTAGTGAAAAATTATACATCAATCCTACTCTAGAGGTGCCTGGGTAGCTTAGTTGGTTAAGCAACCAACCCTTGATTTCGGCTCAGGTCATGATCTCAATGTCATAAGATCCAGCTCTATGTTGGGCTCTACACTCAGGGGGTTGGAGGGTGCTGCTTGAGGATTCTCTCCCGCCGCCCCCCCTCCCGCCCCATACTCTGTCTCTCTCTTGAATAATAAATAAATAAATCTTAAAAAAAAAAAATCCTACTCCCAACATCAAATGCAAAACACAGCATTTTTGAATAGTAAGAAATTAAGAACTAAATTTCCCCAAAAACTCTTCTCAAAAAAAAAGATAAATTTCAGCAAACCAATAAATAAACAAAACTATCACAAAAGAAGGACAGTAGTTATCAAATCTACTTAACTCTGAGATTAAGACTAAACAAAAATGGCAACGGGTTTCACAGCAGAATGCAAAGAACATTTAACAACATTTAATAAATTTACCATTCTGGTAACACCTGAAAACATTCCTATGCTAATTTGAGGAATGATGTTCAATATGATATGCGTTTCTTATTTAATCTTAACTCACAAGTTAGCTAAACCCTGTAGAGCAAATAAATGAAGTTTTTGTCACTTCATTTGCACCTCTGCTTAAATTTGCTTCTTTTCCAACTCAGATGCTTTTAATTCCTTTTTCGTGCCTTACTGGCTCTGGCTAAAGTTTTCAGTAAAGTGGTGATCAGCAGAGGTCAAAGTGAGCATCTGTGTCTTGTTCCTGATCATAGAGGTAAGGCTTTTGGTCTTTTATCATTGAACAGGGTGTCAACTGTGCGTGTTTCATGAATGTCCTTTATCCTACTAAGGAAGCTCCCTTCTATTCCTAGTTTCTTGAGTGTTTATTATTATAACAGGATGTTGAATTTTGTCAACAGCTTTTCTGCATCAATTGATATTATCATGGGGCTTTTTTCCTCAACATTTTAATGTGTGTATTACATTGACTATTTTTTTCTTACATTGAACCATCCTTGCATTCCTGGAATAAATTTCACTTAGTCATGGGTATAATACTTTTAATATGCTGTTGGGTTTGTTTTGCTAGTATTCAGTTGAGAACGTTTGCATTTATGTTCATAAGGGATACTGGCCTATAGTTTTCTTGTGGTGTCTCTCTCTGGCTTTAGTATCAGGGTGATGCTGGCTTCAAAGGATGAGTTCGGAAATGTTCCCTCCCGTACAATTTTTTAGTAGAGTTTGTGAAGGACTGATGTTAATACTTTAAATGTTTGGTAGACTTCATCAGTGAAGCCCCTCCCTTTGGACATTCCTTTGCTGAGAGGCTTTTGACTATGACCCCACTTCTTATTTGCTATAGATAACAAATTTTCTATTTGTTAAATCAGTAATTTGTATGTTTCTAGGCATCTGTTCATTTCATCTAAGTTATCTAATTTATTGAAAATACAATTGTTCATAATACTGTCTTACAATCCTTTTTATTCCTATAAGGTCAGTAGAAATGTCCCTGCTTGTATTTCTGATCTTAGTCATTTGCACTTTCCTTCGTTTTATTCTTAGTATAGCACAGATTTTGTCAATTTTGTTGACCTTTTAAAAAAGCCAACTTTTGTTTTCGTTGATTCTCTATAATGCTTTCCTATTCCCCATTTCGTTTATCTCTGTTTTTAATCTTTATTATTTCCTTCCTTCTGCTAACTTGGGGTAAGGTTTGCACTTCTTTTTCGAATTCCTTGAGGGGTAAAGTTAGCTTATTGATTTGAGATCTTTCCTCCTTTTTAATTAGGTATTACAGCTCTAAAGCTCCCTATGAGCACTGCTTTTGCTTCAACACATGAGTTCTGGTAACTTGTACTCTTGTTTTCACTCTTCTTAAAGTATTTTCTAACTTCCTTTATGATTTCTTCTATGACCCACCAGCTGTTTAATAGCTCTGCTCCAATCTGAAACCTTCTCTGACACTACTGTATGAAATAGCTCCCCATGCTCCTAGGTAGATACTATATTCTCACCACTTTCCTTCCTGAAATATTTTTTCATAATACTTATCTCCATCTGATATTCTATGTATTACTTGTTAATTTATTGTCTGTCTCCCTTCACTAAAATATCTAAGCTCAAAAATAGGAAGCATTTGGTTTTGTATACTGCATATTGTTGGCTGCTTGACATATAATAAGCATTAAATATTTGTTGGGCAAACCCTTTTAAAGTATTTGTGGAATCCAATTTCTAACCGTGAATACTGTGACATTTATTCTAAGTGAAAAAGGTATATGCAGCTTATTCTTCTTGCATAGAATAAACTTAAGGGAGAAACCATGTTGACTAATCCCAAACCACAGTCCTTCAATAAAATAAAAACCCACATTCAAGTTCTTGAGATAAAGGTGAAGAATGAATTTATTTTCCATCCTGTAATTCACGATCATGCATCTTTAGTTTCCTTGAAAGTTAATGGCTAAAGGGGCAGCTGGGTGGCTCAGTTGGTAAAGTGTCCAATTCTTGATTTCCACTCAGGTTATGATCTCAGGGTTGTGAGAGCGAGACCTGCATCAGGCTCTACACCTAGTATGGAGCCTGTTTTAGATTCTCTTTCTCTCTACCCCCTCCCCTCTACTCCTTCCCACCTCTTTCCCTCTCTATAAAAACAATAAGTAAATAAAGTTAATGGGTAAAGTATGGCTTGCTCCATTTGCATTACCTCCCAGTTGTTTAATTAACATAATTACTGTGATATCAGTCACTGCCAAATTATATGTGACTTATTCATTTGGAAGATGACTCAGGTTTTTCATTTTTTAAAGTACACTTAAGTATACTTAAACTACTCTAATTAAAAAATTACCAGAAAAAAAATAAATAAAAATTAAAAATTACCAGTACAATTCAGCCTAGTGTTATTCCCCATACACCTAGGTACAACCATAACTATACTAAACATACAGAAAAATTTTTGTTAAATGGATAATCAAACACTCTCGGTTAAAACCTTATTTTCTAAGTTCAGTTGTAGTCTGATTAAAATTCCCTTACCTGAGAGATATCACTGTAATCATTTTCTGCACATGCTGTAACATATTACCATAAACCTGGTGGCTTAAAACCACAGAAATCTATTTTTTCACAGTACTGGAAACCATTTTGCCTGATGTTCAATTAATCCAATACGAAAGTGCTAGTGGAGCCATGCACATTCTAGAGGCTCTAAGGGAAAACTCATTCCTTGCCTTATTCCACTTCTGGTGGCTGCCAGCATCCCGTGGCTTAAAGCCATATCACTCCAATCTCCACAACCACTGTCAAGTGACAACTCCTTTTCTGTGTGTCACATCTCCCTCTGTTCCTCTCTAACAAGAGCTGTGGTGGCATTTAGGCCCATCCAGATAATCCTGGATTATCTGATTTTGAGATCCTTACCTTAATCATATCTGCAAAGGCCCCCTTTCTACGAAAGGTTCACATTCATAGATTCTAAGGAAAGGCTGCTTTTCGACCTACCACATTTATCTTAATCAGGCGATCAAATTTATCATCATGAGTAACAGGACAAACCAAACTCGTATCTCCTGATATGATGCCTTGAGAACACCACATTACCCATGCAATATCCCTACCCCAAATGCACAACCTTAATCAATCATGAGGAAACAATAAGGAAAACCCAAATGGAGACACATTCTCCCAAAATGCTAATATCATGAAATTAAAAATTTTTCAAATTAAAGGAGTTATGCCCATGTACAGCACTAAAGAGGCATAACAATGAAACACAATGTGTAATCTTGGATTGGTACCCAGATCACAGTAAAAAATTCCTTTTTCTAAAAAAGGCCACTAATTGGGACAACTGGCAAATTTTGTTATGGATTATATATTAGATAATAGCATCATGTCAACAGTAAATTTCCTGAATTTGATCATTGTGTCATGGTTAAAAAATTAATGAAAGGGAGATAAACCAAATATAGTAAAATATTAACAACTGATGAATCTAGGTAGAGGGTATATGACTGTTCATGAATATCCTTAAAACTCTGCTATTGGTTTGAATCTTTGAATCCTTCAAATGAAGGAAGGCTGTATTAGCAGCAAAAACTGTCTTTCTTCCTGCCAAGAAATTACACTTTGTCTACAAATTTAAACCAAAAATAGTAATAATAATAATAAATAAGGCAACTATAGTGTAAAACTCTCTGGTCCTCTTCGTGGACCTCCAACAGAACAGCTGAGCAGGATATTTTTCTATTTGACCACAGTCAAGGAAAACTGAGCACAAACAAGAAATCCACATCAAAACATACACACTCAAATACAGATATAAAAAGAACTATTTGTTGTCAAAAAGGGAAAAAAAACGACTCAAAAGGAAGTTAAATGTTCATCCTCTTGAGTACCCTAAAGGAGAAATAAAGGGTATCACTAAACCAGAATGCCTGGAAATGACATCCTCATTTTGTCTTCCTGAAACCAGACTGAGACTTATGAAACTGATAGCATATAAGGGAAACCACATTTTAACCACAAAGACTCATTAAGAAATGCTATACATAAAGAAACTATTATATTCTTAATTTTTAAAACTTAAAGAACAGATTTACACTATCTTCAAACAGCAACACATGAACTGGGGGTTAAGAAAAGCAACTCTTCTCGTAATAAGCATTAATCCATGAAACCTGGAGTTGTGGGTCGGGAAACAATGAGCACTGAAAACAACTTCTCAGCCTTGTGTCTTTTACTGACAAATTTAATTATGTCCAAGTAAGAACTACATATTGAGAATAAAATCTTCCATAAGAATGTAAACAAAAGACAACAAAACTAAAACGTAAGTAAAATAAAATGTTGGAAAAGCACGTGTTTTGTAGGAAAAAAAAACACTTTCCCCAAACATTACTGAAAGCTTACCCTCTGTGACAGGAAAAACTTCAGCTATTGAGCCTAAAATCGTTAAAGCTGAAAACCTAGTTGGGTAGGAAGACCCAGGAAACAGTGCTTCAAAAAGATGACTGCAAATGGATGACATGAAATTCTTAAAAAAAAAAAAAAAAAAAATTACGTAAGTATAATTGAGTTATAATAGGTTATTTTCAAAGTAACCCCCACCTGGAAGGATGGGGTTCTTTTTTAATTAACAAGGAAAAGATTTTTTAAAACAATACTAGTTGTTCACTTCACTTAACAATTCAGACTGGTATCCTTGACCATAAGCTATATTATGACTTCAATGAACCCTATGTTTCTAGGGTCAACAGGAAGTATAATTCCTAGTCCATAAAAGAAAATACAACACTCAGCACCCATTTTTGGTGAAAGCAAGATCTGTTCTAAAGCTGTATGAATATTGGTTTTCTTCACCAGGGATATTCAGGCTTCAAAGTTTTTAAATAACAACAACAAAAATCCAATACAGACTACTTGATAAATATGGTAAGTGTAATACTTGATAAATGTGGCTGACATAATTCATAAAAAGATCCAACTATTCCACTGTCTTCCTCTATATTCCCCTTTGAAACTCTTGCTCTACCATTCTATGTATAGAAACGCTTTTTTAAAAAATAGAAACTTAGTAAAATGTAATTTAAAAAAGGAATAGGAAATAGTTTACCCAAGATAAAGTCTTCTTCCTCTAGTTAAAATAATAATTATTATCATTGCTTCTGTATAAAACCAAACAGAAAACTTAGAAGGAAAAGCTGTGATCCTCAAGCATCTTACATATACTGCTATGCCCTAACGTCTGTTTTTAACTGAACAGCACAAAAGCAGTTCTAGTCCTGATTCTAGAAAGGATCTCAGCAGTCATTTCTTTGGTCAATGACACACAATCTTGAGGATTTATCCTATAGGCCCTTACAAGCCCTTATTAAGAGTTTGTTAGTTTATTAAATCTATTGGGTTTCAAGGGAATAGTTATTGAAAATATTCTAGTTAAACTCATATTAAATATAAATGAGTAGTACAGTATTCACATGAAAGGGCAACAAGTTCATCCTTTAGGAATGATCTTATCCTGTCTGCAGTATCATTTATATTTTTAGAAGTAGTTCTTTCCCTCCACCACACTGTAACCACAGTGGAGGCAGGGACCACAGTTCATACATTTACATCCCTAGTCCTAAGCATACTGTCCTAGACATACAGAACAGGCTCGATAATATGCTCTCGTCATTTTCAACAGCTCCTGGTGAGGCTTCCAAATACCTTAGCCTAGCATTCAAAATCTCTCTGGATAACTCAGGCATCTTCTCTACTTGCCCTTAAGGTTTTTTGTCACGTTATAGCTTAAGCTATCAAAAAGTAACCTTAAAATTGTTAAAAGTGATAGATTTCAAATTGCAGATACTCTTAATTCTATTGTTACATTTTCAAGCACAGGAGATGAAATAATTAGGTTAGCAGAGAGGGAACCCAACTACAGATATGAAATTGGTTGCTACTTCCAGCTCTGTCACTGGTTAGCTATGTAACTACAATATGAAATTCCTGAAATTTCCACAGCAGCTACCTCATAGATCAAAATAAAAATACTTTACTTGTATTCTTAGGGTAACAAACTTTATTTATTTGTAAATACATGCGTGTTAGTTAAGCTGTTTTTTTTTTTTTTTTAGTTAAGCTGTTTTATCATAGCAAAAAAAAAAAGAAAAAAATTCCAACTCCCAGCTCCAACTTGATTTTCTAACTCATTTCTTTTTACTCAACTCCTTTGTTGCTCCAAGTATCTTATAAGTCATTCACAACAGTGAATTCACTGTTCCCCAAATTCTTTCTTACCTCCAAGCTTTCAATTAAGCAGGGACTTGGAAAAAACTATTCAGATTTTAGAAGCAAGAGCAGATTCAGATAGGAGGCTGCCCCTATCACTCAGTAGCTGTGGGGCCTTGGGCAGGTTACTCAACTTTTCCAAGTTTCAGTTTCCTATTTTCAAGTAAGCTCTACACCCAACATGGGGCTTGAACTCACAACCCTGAGACCAAGAGTTGCATGCTTCACTGACTGAGCCAGCCAGGTGCCCTAATTTTCACATATGTTAAGTGAAGATAATTAATGCCTATATCACAGCTTTGTTATTAAAGATTTAAATGAGAATGTGAGTACAAAGTATTTTGTCAAAAGTACTCTAGCTAATAATACTAGTTCTTTAGGTATGAAATAATCTCTTTCACTAGACTAGAAGACATCTTTTCTAACTAACAGCTTCCTCTTCTCCCCCAAGACTGTTGATTGGCAACAAGCCTACCCCATACTGCATGACACCCACTGTTATAAAGATGATGATAAGTAATTTAGTGCCAAAGTCACAGTCTCCAAAAGCCACAGGTGACTACAGTTGGGAGGAACTATCAGAACCATGAGATAGACTCAGATTAAGACTCTAAAGGGCTAATTTTCAAAAACACAAATATTCGCAAGGACAAGTAAGAAACCATACATACATGAAAATTCAGAACGTCAATCCACTACATGGGTTTTGTGTTCTAAGTACCTCAGTTTTCACAAATGTCATTTTATCCCTTGCAAAAAGCAGCAAAAGGGCTGTGTTTTCTTAGATCATCTAAAAATGATCTAAGAAAGGCTAAAAAAAAAACCTGATCCACACACAACGCAAGTGCTCAGAACACACTCCAGTCACTTTTAATGACTTCCAGCGAGGCTTTTTGTAGGATGATTCACAATTTACAAAGAGCTTTCTCGTTTAATCCTCAAATCCTCAGCTTTTTCAGAGAGGTTACTCATCCCTCTTAGAGTCCAGCAGACATCAAGTAAGCCAACTAGTCTGTGGCCGAAATGGGACTAAACCCATGTCCTGCAAGTTTAGGTCATTCCTTTCCAAACTTCACTTTGGTATTTTACAAAGAGGAAGCTAACTTCAGCCTTGGTAAAGGAATAGTCTTCTTTAGATGATTTTCTGTCTTTTAATTATAAAACTGAAAACTAAGGGCCATCTATACTAATGATTAGAGTAGGTAGTGAGTTTAACATGGCTCTAATGTATCATTACTTGAATTACAATGGTTTCCCTAAATGAAATACAATAGATGAGCTCTGTTCACTATCTGAGTCTTAGAAGATAGTAAGATTTCTGCTTCTGAGAGGCTAGGTCTGGATTAAGAAACCAGTGAAAAACTCATTCTGTTCTGATGGACAGAAATGGAAGGCTGTCAACTTGAGCTCTGGCCCCAGACTGGAGCCACATCCATCCCATTAATACAGTGCCCCGAAACCTACCCTTACTCTTCATGCCCCCTCCAAAATGGGATGGACAGGAACCTGCATCGCTGGACCACAGACCAGGAGGCACCAATATCAAGCCACTATAAGTCATATTAGTCTAAAGGGGAAGCAGGCGCAGATACAGCAGTCTTCCACTCTGAGGAGGGGTGGAGGAGTTCAGGGCCAGCAAGTACCTTTTTGTTAAAGTACTAAATTAATGTGGCCCACAGGAAGCTGTGAACAACTGAGGTTAACCCATTCTTGTTATTCTGAAACAGGCCTTAAGTCCAGCACCAATTCTGCAGCTCAGGATACCCCAAGAGAAGTACCAAAGCACAAGAAGGAATATGTAAAACTCAGCTTGAAGGAAAAAAGCACAGAAACACCATTCACTACAAGACTTCCATTTATTTCCCTCTATTGTTTATTCACAATTGTCCTATGCTTCTTAAATATTCGTATGGCTAGAAATAGATCACCTACCTTATACTGTTGTAAAGAAACAGAAGGGTGCTGTTTGGTTAACTCATTCTCTGGCTCATGTTTGGATCTACTTTGCTCCTGTTTATAAAGCACCTGAGAACTTTCCTGTATCCTACAGAACAACTTTTGAGAAAAAGAAAAATGAAGCATATGTAAGTCATATTAATCTTCACTGTCCACCTAAAAAAAAAGCAAAGGACAAATTTTCTAAATTCTTTAGACTTAAAGCTTCAGGCAAGGAGAGTACTGGTTTCTAAACTCTTAATATTTATACAGTTTCTCTGACAGAAAATTAATATATGCTTTTAAAATCAAAAACAAAATATTACTGCAAACCAGAATACAGTCATTAAATCATGGTTCTATTTCCTTTAGGTTGGCATGAAGCTAGAGATATACTCACTCCTATTCTCTCCAAATTCGTCATCCCATAAATGAGGCCATGTGATTAATTTGAGTTGAATTAATCTTACAATGACCATTTCATGAGGCCCTTAAATGCTAAAACTACAAGGGCATCTTTCCTTCTCTCATCAAAGTTTTCTTAAAATACATTTTATGCTGAAAGATCCAACATTACATTTTTTTCTTTCAAAAAAAAAAAAAAAAGAGCTCAAGTTCAATTTCTTTTACACCAGAATGAAAGGACTTTATACCCTAGACTTGAATCTCAAATGTAAACTTTATGGAATCATAGAATGGTTCACAGAAGGGCCATGAAGGAATGTGGCAGTCCGATCCCACGATCATTATTCCTATACTCTCCCAAAATCTTAGCTCTTTTCAAAAGTGATTTGCAGAGCAGAGTTCACCACTATCCTGCATTTTCTGATGAGAAATTCTACCTTTTTAAGAAGAGAACAAATCTGTTGTCGGACTCCTGGGGACTGACTGTTAAGATTGTAGGTGATAAAGAATTGAATCCACTGCATTTCTTCTGTGGAAACGATTTCTGTACTTCGATTACTCTCACAAAGCAAGCCTAAGGTATCTATCCGTACCTAAAACATATCAAGCAATAAAATGTTAATTTTTCAGTGAAATAGGCAAATTGTAAACCATTTGACATGTTTATTTACAAAAGCTACCAAAGGAGAAAAAACCAGTAAACCTCAGTTTAGCCATGTATACTTCAGAAAAGTTCCCTAATCCCAAAGATCCTGGGGTTACATGATACAGAATTATTTTATTAAATGTGTAAACTGGGTATTTGTAAGTCAACAATCTTAAAAATTCTTATTCCATGGTAATGCTCAAGTTCATTCTTTTCTCTACTTTACCTCAGGACCTCATGATCTCACTCTTAGGTCACTGTCATGCACATCTAACCAGTCTCCTTGTTTCTTTTTGCTCTCACACTGGAAACTCATCTCTGTTGCCATTAATTCTACTTCCTTGCAGAATGCAGAATAGCTTGTGTCCAGTTATCAACGGAATGAAATCTGAAGTCTTCAACCTAGCGTTGGAGGCCTCTCTACTCCCACCAAACAACATCCTGAATTACCCTCCAGACCTTGTTTTATATTCTCCCATTTGGGGTTTTCATTTGTTTGTTTTTAAAGTCATTTTATTTATTTTTTCTTCATCATTACAATAGTACTTTTTAATTCTTATCCCCTATTTTCCCCTTCCCCCCAACCACCTCCCCCTCTGGTAACCATCTGTTTGTTCTCTATAGTTAAGGGTCTGTTTCTTCATTTGTCTCTTTTTTTTTCCTTTGCTTGTTTTCTTTCTTTTTTTTTTTTTTTAGATTTTATTTATATATTCATGAGAGACACAGAGAGAGAGGCAGAGACATAGGCAGAGGGAAAAGCAGTCTCCCTGCGAGAAGCCTGATGTAAGCCTCGATCCCAGGACCCTGGGATCACGACCGTGAGTTGAAGGCAGACGCTCAACCACTGAGCCACCCAGGCGTCCCTTTTTATTTCTTAAATCCCACATGAGTGAGATCACATGGTATTTGTCTTTTTCTAACTTAGTCTGCTTAGCATCATACTTTCTAGCTCTATACGTTTGTTTTTTGTTTTTTGTTTTTAAAGATTTTATTTATTTATTCTAGACACAGAGAGAGGGGCACAGACACAGAGGGAGAAGCAGGCTCCATGCAAGGAGCCCGATGTGGGACTCGATCCCGGGTCTCCAGGATCACACCCCAGGCTGCAGGCAGCGTCAAACTGCTGCGCCACCAGGGCTGCCTCTCTAGCTCTATACATGTTGTTGCAAATGGCAAGATTTCATTTTTATGGCTGAGTAATGTTCCACTGTGTGTGTGTATATATATATGTATGTACATATACATACCACCTCCTCTTTATCCATTCATCTATCCATGGACCCTACAGCTGCTTCCGTAGTTTGGCTATTATATATAATGTTGCAATAAACATAGGGGTGTGTGTACCCTTTGAATGAGTGTTTTTGAATTTTGGGGGGTAAATAGTAGTGTAATTAGCTGGATCATAGGGTAATTCTATTTTTAATATTTTGTGGAACCTCCGTGTTTTCCACATTGGCTGCACTAGTGCAATCCTACCAACAGCTCACAAGGGTTCCTTCTTATTTTCATCCTCTCCAACACTTGTTTCTTATGGTTTTGATTTTAGCCATTCTGACAGGTATGAGGTGATAGGTCATTAGAGTTTTGATTTGCATTTCCCTGATGATGATGAGTAATGGTGAGCATCTTCTCATGTCTGTTGGCCATCTAGCTGTGTTCCTTGGAGAAATGTCTGTTCATGTCTTCTGCCCAATTTTAATCAGATTGTTTTTTAGGTATTGAGTTATATCAGTTCTCTATATATTTTGGAATACTATCCCTTTATTGGATATGTTATTTGCAAATATCTTCTCCCATTCAGTAGGCTGCCTCTTAGTTTTCTTATTTCCTTGGGTGTACAGAAGCTTTTTATTTTGATGTAGTCCCAACAGTTTATTTTTGCTCTTGTTTCCCTTGCCTCAGGAAGCATATCTAGAAAAATGTTGCTACCACTTATGTCAGAGAGATTACTGCCTGTTCTTCAAGTATTTTTATGGATTTAGGTCTTACATTTAGCTCTTTAATCCATTTTTTTAATCCATTTTTTAGTTTACTTTTATGTAAGGTGAAAGAAAGTGGTCCAGTTTCATTCTTTTGCTTGTGGCTGTCCAGTTTCCCCAGCACCATTTGTTGAAGACACTTGCCTTTTTCCCACTGTATATTCATCCCTCCTTTGCCAAAGATGAATTGATCATATAATTGTGGGTTTATTTCTGGATTTTCCATTCTATCCCATTGACCTATGTGTCTATTTTTCTGCCAGCACCATACTGTTTTAATTAATACCACACGATAATATAACTTGAAATGTAGAATTGTGATGCCTCCAGTTTTGTTCTTCTTTTTCAAGATCACTTTGACTATTTGAGGTCTTTTGTGGGCTCCCTACAAATTTTAGGATTGTTTGTTCTACTTCTGTGAGAAAAGCCATTGGTATTTTGATAGGGACTGCACTAAATGTGTAGATTGGTTTGAGTAGTATAGACATTTTAACAATATTTGTTCTTCCAACCCATGAGCATGAAATATCTTTCCATTTCTTTGCATTGTCTTGAATTCCTTTCATCAATGTTTTATAGTTTTTGGAGTAGAGATCTTTCATCTCTGCTGCTTCATTATTAGTGTATAGGTAAGCAACAGAATTCTGTACATTGATTTTCTACCCTGTTACTGTACTGAATTCATTTATCAGTAGTGTTCTCTCATTCTGTGTGCTGCTCCAATGTCTCCTCTCCTTTAATCACATTTAATACATTCCTAATCAACCACTACCTACTCAGTTCTGAGCCCCCAAGTCCATATGCATAAAGGCGCACTTATATCTGTATTGTCTTCTAAGAGTTTCCAGTTGTTTTATGTAGGTTTTCTTATTCCTTCAACTAAAATTGAAATAGCCCAAATACAAGGTCTACACTTCTCATTTTCCATTCATCATCCTTATGAACCCTTAAAACAGTGCTGACCTTGACATAGGGGCCTCTATATTATACTGCTAACTCTACTGTATGTATAAAATGTCCAGGTATTTTACTTACTTGGCAGTGCTGATGAATTAAGCCTTGTTTTATTCTTGCACTGGACACAAGGTTCCTCCAGGTATCAGTTGCAGACTGAAGATGTCCATGAGCTCTAGCCGTTCGCAGACATGCCATCAAAGCTCCCAGGGCCCCTCTACTGTTATAAGACCCTAAGGATGGAAAAGATTGCTCTTGTCTCAAAAGCACAGTAACAAAGACAACTACTGTGCTATGTAACAACTGTTATAATTTTCATTTTGCAACTAACATTCTATTTTAAGAAATAAAAATCATCTTTTAAATTCTAACACAAATTAAACTTCCTATTATAAAATAATCATTGCTGAAAAGGATTTAATAGTTCTTGTGTCAATAATTTCAAGAAAGCATAATCCCCTAAGGTTAAAGAAATCATTATTTTTTGCTATTTTTACCTTTTCCTTGACACTTAGAAATGAGCCAGGAAATGATTCAGTGGGGAAAAGGTCAGGCAGAGAAATATTTAAAACAGTAAGAATAACTAAAATGATTTTCAGCCAAAATCAGGAAAAACACTTTAGTATTTAGTGGCTAAATATAAGTATTTCTCTAAAAAGAAATACTAAACCTCTCTGTATATCTTGGAGTTATTATTTCTCCCTAGTAAAAAAAGATAAAAAGGAGGATTACAAGGAACCTGATGCTTCTGAAGGCTAGGACATCAGCCTTTACTAACAGGACAGGGAACACTGGCTCAAAGGGAACACTGATATAAAAACAGAGACTGCTTAGGGTATGTAGGTGGCTCAGTCAGTTAAGCGTCTGCCTTTGGCTCAGGTCATGATCCCCAGGTCCTGGGATAGAGCCGTGTGTTGGGTTCCTTGCCTTTAGCAGGGAGCCTGCTTCTCCCTCTCCTCCCACTCATGCTCTCTCTCATTATCTGCCTCTCTCTCTCTCTCTAATAAATAAATAAAATCTTTAAAAAAAAGAGAGAGACTGCCTTGAGAACAGATTCATGAATCTTCAACTTTAGATGGCTTCTCAAAAAGGCAAGAACAATTTTTCTTTAAAGATTTTATTTTGTGGGCAGCCCAGGTGGCTCAGCGGTTTAGCGCCGCCTTCAGCCCAGGGTTGATTCTGGAGACCTGGGATCAAGTCCCACGTCGGGCTCCCTGCATAGAGCCTGCTTCTCCCTCTGCCTGTGTCTCTGCCCCTCTCTCTGTGTCTCTCATGAAAAACAAAATAAAATCTTTTTTTTTTTTTAAGATTTTATTTATTTATGAGAGACACAGAGAGAAAGAGAGAGAGAGAGGCAGAGACACAGGCAGAGGGAGAAGCAGGCTCCATGCAGGGAGTCCGATGCGGGACTCGGTCCTCGGGACTCTGGAATCACACCCCAAGCCAAAGGGAGACGTTCAACCACTGAGCCAATCCAGGCATCCCAAGCTAAGAACAATTATTGTTAAAAACTACAATGAAAAAGAAACCAACTACAAATAATGGCTTATTTTTATGTACAGGAATCAGATTTTTCCAGCTATCTCATGGTTACTCTTTGAAGTATTGAAAGTTTTAAGTTATTTAATTCTTTTTTTTTAATTTTTTATTTATTTGATAGTTACACAGAGAGAGAGAGAGAGGCAGAGACACAGGCAGAGGGAGAAGCAGGCTCCATGCACCGGGAGCCCGATGTGGGGTTCGATCCCGGGTCTCCAGGATCACGCCCTGGGCCAAAGGCAGGCGTTAAACCGCTGCGCCACCCAGGGATCCCTTTAAGTTATTTTTAATTGTAAATATTCTTTTTTTTTTTTTGAGAGAAAGAGAGTACCTGTGTGCACATGGGTTTGGGAAGGGGCAGAGGGAGACAAAGAGATAATCTTAAGGAGACTCCACACTCAGCACAGAGCCTAATGCAGGGCTCGATCTCAAAACCCTGAGATCATGACCTGAGCTGAAATCAAGAGTCAGATTTAACCAACTGAGCCACCCAGGTGCCCCTTGCTGTAAATATTCTTAAATTGTGATGTAGGGTACCATATTCCTATTTTGTTAAACAGAATATAGTCATTTTAAGATTCACATAAGTCGGGATCATCCTTTATATATTAATTATTGAATTATGCTTTAATGCACTGATTCCTTCAGTGCTACTAAGTTTCAGTGGCATCTTTACCCCTATTCTAAATGACTATAAAGAGTTGTTTCTTAGGTTAATACATCTACATTTTTTGTCTCTTTCCCAGAGACAAAAATTTGCTACTCTAGTTTTTACTTGTTTTATCCTTGCCTAAAACAATTTTTAATTACTGTTTTGATCACTTAGCAACTTCTATAAAACACTCAAACTTTTATTCCAGTCTGACAACTGAACAAATAAGAACTAGGTAAATGAATTAAAACTAGTAATAAAGGGAACCTTATAATCATAACTGGAATCAATCCTTAGCTTGTAGAAATGACATCAGCCAAAAGACTTTATTCTGCTCTTGACAGGAACATTAGTTTCAATCTGAAATCTCTATTGTTAAAACCCTCTTTCACTTTTTACAGAAGTGGTAGTATTTATATTTGAATATGGTCCACATCTGCCTAGGTACCTACCCTTAAACATCTTAACTAGAAATTACTAAAAGAATGATTCATTTTTTCTTTTTTTTTTTTTAATTTTTAGTTATTTATGATAGTCACACATGGAGAGAGAGAGAGAGAGGAGAGAGAGAGAGAGAGAGGCAGAGACATAGGCAGAGGGAGAAGCGGGTTCCATGCACCGGGAGCCCAACGTGGGATTCGATCCCGGGTCTCCAGGATCGTGCCCTGGGCCAAAGGCAGGCGCCAAACCGCTGCGCCACCCAGGGATCCCAGAATGATTCATTTTCTTACCAGTTTTAGCATCAGCAGAAGTTTGAAGAATCTTTACCATGTAGCTTAAGCTTTCAGGACTGCAATTCAATAATTTTGGCAAGTAATAATCAATCACATAAGATTTTTGATCCAAATTTCCTTCACATAGTATAAAAAGGAGAGGAGAAACCCAAGTCTCATGCCACTCATCGATCCAGGTACTGTCAAGAGCCTGGGACTTCAAATGATTCTTGTGATTTCTGAACATGGTTTCCAAGAGATCACTTGCATAAGGTACCAATGACTGGTCTCCCATCACCTCTAAGATTTGTGATGGAATAGTTTTAGCTAGAGCCAAAATATGTCCAATTCCTATGTAATCTACTAAACAACCAAGGCACGTGTACTTCCCTTTAACATGCCATTCCAATCGCAGAAGACCTTCAGTCAAATCACAGATGAAATGATCGGCAGCCAAACCTGACACTTCTGAGTTTGACTTTTCTTTAGTGAGCTGGTGCATTTGGAGAATATTTCTGAATATAATTTTGGTTTGGTGTCTCAAAGCATCCAGTGGATGCTCCCAGTGGGTATAGACATATTCCAAAAGTCTCCCAACTACACTTGATTTCCCATTCAGACTGTTCTTTAGGCTTGGGGAACTTGATTTAAGGACATGTATGGCTGAGTTAGTCCAGGATGCCAAAATTCTAGACAGAAACAATTCCAGAGTTGATTCCTTGATCCTGAAGAAAAATGAGTAATGTTATTATCAACTGATTAGTAGCAGAAACTTACTTACTTACTTACTTATTTATTTATTTATAAAGATTTTATTTATCTATTTGACAGAGAGAGACAGAGAACAAGTGCACAAGCAGGGGGAGCAGCAGGCAGGGGAAAGGGAGAAGCAGTCTCCCTGCTGAGCTGGGAGTCTGATGCAGAGCTCGATCCCAGGATCCTGGGATCATGACCTGAGCTGAACAAAGATACCTAACTGACTGAGCCACTCAAGCACCCAGAATTCTCATTTTATAATCATCTAGAGCTTAAAAATATAAAAGATAAAGAATGATCAGAAAATCCAATAATTATTAAATTTACAACAAAAAATTACAAACAATGCCAAAACAGATCTCAAATTTATTAGTGAATCTTTTTATCTTATAGAAATAATCAAAAAGGACACAAGAAAACTTTTGGGTGATGGAAATATTCATTATTTTGATTCTGATCAGGTTCCACATGTGTTTTAAAATATACCAAGAGGGGCACCTGGGTGGCTCAGCTGGTTAAGCGATGGACTCTTCATTTCAGCTCAGGTCATGATCTCAGGGTCATGAGATCAAGCCCCACGTCGGGATCTGCGCTGGGTGTGGAGCCTGCTTAAGATTCTCTCTCCTTGGGGATCCCTGGGTGGCTCAGTGGTTTAGCGCCTGCCTTTGGCCCAGGGCGCGATCCTGGAGTTCCAGGATCAAGTCCTGCATCAGGCTCCCTGCATGGAGCCTGCTTCTCCCTCTGCCTGTGTCTCTGCCTCTCTCTCCCCCTGTCTATCATGAATAAATAGATAAAATCTTAAAAAAAAAAAAAAAGATTCTCCTTTTCCTTCTACCCACCCCATTCCTTGTCTAAAAATAATAGTAAAAATAATTTTTATATTCTTTTGAAATATGCATAATTTTCCAATATAAACTGAAAAACATATAAGAATTATTTTAGAACAGGGTACCTTTTGTCCTTTATCTACTACATGTTCATTACTATCAAGCTGTACCTATGGTTTAACATTTTAACTACATGATCACTTTCAGGCATCATGAATAAAACACTGGAAAAAAAACACAAAACACAATCCCATGAAATCGAAAACAGCTGGTTACAGTTCTGCCTCAGGTGCTTATTAGCAATACACTTAAGTTTTAACATTTACTTTTCTAACTTCACTTTACACACTCAACATAATAGATTTCCTATTCCATCTACCAAACACATGAGGCTCATACTGAATTACTTATGTTGATGATGTTCATAAACTCCAAAATGCAAGCATTAGAGACTAACTGTTAACGTTAACATTAGAAATGTTCAGTACAGGTTCACTTGTATCAATAATACCTATAACTCTCTCCCCCCTCATCATCGCATCTTCTCTTGTTCTATTTCATACTCACTTCATTATCTCCCTTTTAATTCAGCATTATCCTGAGCAATTTTCATTGAATTACTAAGTATGCTACTGTTCAGCTGTCTTTTAAATGTCTGACAAAACAAAATATGAGACAGTAGCATGAAAACTCACTGTGAACTCAAGGTGAACAAAATATGTACAATATTCAGGAGCAGGGCCTCCCCGCTCAGGCCCATACTCCCATTCTGCCAGTCCAACATGGTGAGTGTCCCCTGACACAGGAATAAGAGGGTTGACTGCGAGACATCAGTACAACAAAGGCTCCTGCAGCAGTTCAAAAACCAGTCGGGAATGCTGGTGCAGTCCACTGAATGGAGAAGCAAACTGCTAATCTGGAAAAACATAACAGAGCTAACATTTATAAAGCCTCTAAAACGTCTCAGATATTTCAAAATGTAAATCCAAAATTCCCTTTCCGCTGAAACTTACTAGGGAAAATAACTGAACCTAAAGATGAGAAGCCACAAGTGTTAAAATTATTATATCAAAAGGGAAAAAAATTAAATCTAAGCACGTGAACAATTCTGCTGGGTTGAATGTATTTGTAGAGCAAAACATATCGCCACCTGCAGGTGGATGAACTTAACTAATGCTTTTTAGATGTGATTTTAGAAATCAAATTGTTAAATTTTATTCAGTGGTAAATACTTTGTGTGATCTCATAGGAAAGTATACATCTATTTTGTATAAAGTCGGGTAAATAACTAAAATAAGTTTCTAGATAACATAGTAAGGGAGAATAAATCTACTAGTACTGAATACAAGAATTCTAGCCCAGATTATCAATTATACTTTCCATCTAACCAAATGCACAGAAAAAATGAGTCTAACATACTTCTCATCAAAAGTATAATATTTGGGGGTCAGGGGAGGCCTGGGTGACACAGTCAGCTGAGCATCCAACTCCTGGTTTCAGTTCAGGTCATGATCTCAGGGTTGTGGGATCCAGTCTGGTGTCGGGCTCCATGCTCAGCGCTGAGCCCACTTAGGATTCTCTCTCTCTCTTTCCCTCTGCTCCTCCTGTTCCTTCTCTCTCTTTAAATTAAATAAATCTTTGAGGTATCCCTGGGTAGCGCAGGGGTTTGGCGCCTGCCTTTGGCCCAGGGCGCAATCCTGGAGACCTGGGATCGAATCCCACGTCGGGCTCCCGGTGCATGGAGCCTGCTTCTCCCTCTGCCTGTGTCTCTGCCTCTCTCTCTCTTTCTCTCTCTCTCTGTCTCTCTCTGTGACTATCATAAATAAATAAAAATTTAAAATAAATAAATAAATCTTTGATAAATTAATAAATAAATAAAAATAAAGTACAATATTTGGATTATTTTTTTTCTCTAAATAGGCTCCATGCCTACATGGAACCCAACACAGGGCTTGAACTCATGACCCTGAGATCAAGATTTAAGCTGAAATCAAGAGTTGGATGCTTAATTGACTAAGCCACCCAGGCATCCCTGGGTTATTCCTAATAAAAAGGACATATTTATCAAAAAGTAATGACTTCTTGTATCTATACATTAATCTCTGCATAATTTTAATATAACTATCTTTTATAATACTGAGAGATGGAATTGAACCAACAGTACAAGAAATAAACTAAAAGGATATACCCCAAAAGACATTGATAGTGATTATCTTTGTGAGATGAATTTATAGGTGATTGCTATCGTCTTCTGCTTTTTCTCCATTTTTGGATTGTCTCTTATTGTAAAAGAAAAAGATCATCAGAAGGATTCTATGTAGAGAGAAATTTTTAATCCACTTCTTTAAAAAATACTTTTATTTATTTATTTATTTATAAATTTTGTTTATTTATTCATGAGACACACACACAGACGGGGGGGGGGGGGTGCAGAGACAGAGGCAGAGGGAGAAGCAGGCTCTGTGCAAGGAGCCTGACGTGCGACTCGATCCCAAATCACGCCCTGGGCTGAAGGCGGCGCTAAACCGCTAAGCCACCCAGGCTGCTCTAAAAATATTTTTATTTATTTTTTTTATTTGTTATTTTTTGAAGATTTTATTTCTTTATTCATGACAGACACACAGAGAGAGGCAGAGACACAGGCAGAGGAAGAAGCTGGCTCCACACAGGGAGCCCGACGTGGGACTTGATCCTGGGTCTCCAGGATCACACCCTGGGCAGAAGGCAGCGCTAAACCACTGAGCCACCTGGGCTGGCCCTAAAAATATCTTTAAAACATGTGTTTAATTCAATAAATAAAGCACAATTCTCCAAAGGAGATGCACTCACCAAATCAGGAATCTTCTCAGGTGGATGAAACATAGCCTTAATAAAAAGAATAACAGCTAATCCAGACGTACTCTGAATTGTCTGTAAGAGGTCATCTATGTGGCAAAAAAGTAGAGAGCATGTATTAAATGACAATGGATATTTTGGTCCAGTGGAAAAAGCACATGGCACAGAGTCAGACAGTCCTGGGTACAATTTCTAGCATGACCACTTCCTAGGTTGAGTAGACCTTGGGCAAGTTATTTAACCTCCTAGGAGCCCAACTTTCTCTTCTGTAAAATGAGAAAATGTAACTCCTATCTGACCATTATTATAATGTTTAAATGCATAATTAACATAAGGCTTTTATGGCCAGCACATACATACTTATTAATAAATGTGATTCTTTCCTCTCTCCTCTTAACAACCACTCACTCTTCCTCTCCCCCCAGCACATCTAGGAGCAACACCACTTGTCTCCTCTACACTGATCAGCCTCTCCATCCCAACTCCCACATATACTACTTTTTTTTAACGTGATTTCAGGGCTTGTGTAAAGAGCCTGGATAAGTGCTAACTGCAAACTTTGCTATCACTGGCACTGTACCCAATGCAGCCAATCTTGGCTTGCTATCTTCTCTTTGCTTTCTATCAGCCTCTGGTTTGTGAGAAAGTTTACCAAATATGGTGAATTATTCAACCTGAGCTAAGAATCATAAATACCTACCATAAACTACCTAATAAACATCCATTCTGCCATTTATCCCTGCTAACAGAACTGTGACTTTGACTGGGGCACCAATGTGCTCAGCCAAAGACAGTATACTTGCTTCCTCAATCTTCCCTGCAACTAAAGGTAGCCATGAGGGTTCAGGCCAATGGGATGTAAGTAGGTACTTGGGTATTTTTGTTTCTCCTGATTAAAGGTAAAGATGCAACTGGCCTTCCTTCCTGCCTCACACATAGTCATAATTCCAGACCTACAGCAGTCAAATGGCAGCCACAAGGTACAAACATGGGAGTGAAAGCCAACATGCTGAAGATAGCCGAACAGAAAGGCAGAAATGTTTAGGTCCTAGACTGCATACAGCAGTTTGGGATCATCTGCCTCTGAACTTCATGTTATGTGGGGGTGAGGGGAGGCACATTTGCTTAAGTCTCTGAAATTTGGTTTTCTGTTACTTGCAGCCAAACATTTTACTGACAGATGAAGTTTTAAAACCTTGGGGAAGAACAGCAGTGGATAGGCCCCTCAACCACCCAGAAAAGAGGCCGCCTCATATTAAAATCAGGTCTTCTCTGTATTTTATCAGTTGTGTTTTTTTTTTTTTTAAGATAACAATGTCCTCTTTTAAAACAGATCTGTAAATTGTATCTTAGAGTAACACTTTCATTTTTTTTTTTGTAAGGTTTTATTTATTTGAAAGAAAGCATGCACAAGCACGGGGAACAGGCCGAAGGAGAGGGAGAAGCAGGCTCTCAGCTGAGCAGGGAGTCCCATTCGAGGCTTGATCCCAGGACTCTGGGATCATGACCTGAGCCAAATGCAGTTGCTTAATCGACCTGAGCCACCCAGGTGCCCCTCCTTTCCTTTTATAACTACCTGAGATCCTAGCCAAAATAAATAAATGAATAAATAATGCTATTTTGACAATATATCTAGCACTTTTACTAGTTACTAGGACTCAAAACATATAAACAATGAGGTACTATTTTTTCCCATTAGACTAGCAAAACCAGAGTCAATTACTGCTCTTTATAAACAAAAGTTCTAAATCAATCCCATTTATTTTTTAATTAAGTTAATATTTATGCATATATGACCATATAGAACGTGAGGTAAAGGGTAAAAATGTAATTAACTTTTTATAAATACTCATATGTGTTAAGTATCATTTTTCCATTAATCATATTGTAATGTAACACACTGATACAGGAAAATAGCCACAACAAATGTATAGCTTAACAAATTATTTGAAAGGAACACCCTTGTACCCAGCATCCAAGGTGAAAAATCGAACTCAGGCACCCAACCCATAAGGCTCATCCATATGTCTCTTCCCAAACATAAACCCTTTTCTCACCCTGAGTAAGCATTATCGTGACTTGCAAAATAATGGCTTTCTGATTTTTAAATGGTTTTGTTAATCAAATGTGCATCCCTAGACACTATAGTTTAATCCTGTCCATTTTTCAAAAATCTGATATACCTTTTAAGTGCCTTTCAATCTACAGGTGCCCTCTCCACCCCTTTCATTTCATTACAATTTCTCTATTCAAGAGCTCTGGCCTTGATCTGCAGTTTCCCACAGTCTGGATGTGGGTCTGCTTTGTCCTAATGCAGTTCAGCATACTCTTCTGTCTTCTGTAATTCCTGTAAATTGGCAGGTGACCTAAAGATCAGTCTCAAGCTCAGCCCCTTTGCAAAGAGTGTATAGGTGGTAAAAGCAAGACTCTAAAGGGCACATGCTGTCTGGCTGTCTGTTCTGTAATGTTAGTAGTTGCTGATGCTTAATGCCTACATCAATTCATCAGGTTACAAAATGGTAATACCATTTTAATTTATAGTTTGAAATGCTTTTAGAAAGAGGGACTTCCTCTCATTTACTATTTGGCTTCCCAGTAACACAGATCACATGAATAGAAGCAACACATGAGACATATAAGGGGGAATGATGACCACCCCCACAAGGACTACTGTCATTACTTGAGGATGAAGCCTGCTCCTAAGGAGAACTGTATGGTTTATGTTCACCTTTCCAGACCTTCCTTCCAAGTACGGACTCTTCTTATTGAGAACTTTCTTTTGCCATTTAAAGTCTGGGGCTTTTCAACCCTAAGACTGTTAGGTTTTCTTTTTTACAAAACACACACATTTAGAAAAGTCCTTCAACATTATTCCTTGCAGAATTGGTACATTTGAAAGAAAAAGCATTAAAAAACCTTATAACCCAGGGCCTTTCCCCATTTTAAGGAGCTGGGGGAAAAGAAGTTCTCCATCTCAGGTAAATATCCAACATTTCATACCATTATTAGCAAAAGCTGAGTGACACTCAATTATAATCATCATTTTTATGGTCTTATACTTACCATCACTTAAAAACTTGGTGAAAATACTCAGCAACCCACACATACTTTGCCATGTGGGAGAATTGGAAGTCTTCAAATGAATTCTCTGAATGTCTTGTATTTTCTGCACCAACATCACTGAAACTCTAGTGCCTACCAGTAAGTCATTCATCAACTGTGTCTGAACTATACAATTTCCAGCAAATTTTCTATAATGAAAAAAAAAGACATTATTCCAAAAGAAGTCACATGAAAATGCCACCATTTCTATCCCTCTGCAAAAGAAATATTCCTCAATCAAAGGGCCAAAATTTGTTTTAGATTATGTTAGACATCTATACCTCTCTCTTCCACTCCCATAACATTCCAATTACATGACATTTATTGCAAACTTTCAATGCTCTTACCTCAAAATATCCCTCCTTCTCTGCTAACAACTAATCTCATTTCTTCTTTTAGAGTTAAAACAGGTAAAATGAATGCCACAATTTCTAAACTTGAACATTCCCTCAACCTTGATCCACTTTCTTCACTTGTTTTCCAAGACACTAAGCTCTCCTCCATTTCCTCCCACTTCACCATTGCTCCTTCCTATATACCTCAGCTAGTTCATCCACTTTTCCCCAGAAAAGGGATTTTCCTGGCAGAAATGCAAATTGGTACAGCTACTGCAGAAAACATGGAGATTCCTCAAAAAATTAAAAATAGAATTACCATATGATCCAGTAATCACACTATTGGATATTTACCCAAATATATGAAAACACTAATTTGAAAGGATATATACACCTCTCTGTTTACTGCAACAATAGCCAAGATATGGAAGCAATCCAAGTATTAACAGATATATGAATGGATAAAGAAGATGTGGTGTGTGTATTGTGTGTGTGTGTGTGTGTGTGTGTGTGTGTGTAATGGAATATTATTCAGCCATAAAAAAGAATGAAATCTTTTTGCAACAACAGGGATAGATCTAGAGGATATAATGCTAAATTAAGTAAGGCAGTCAGAGAAAGACAAATACTGTATGATTTCACTCATATGTGGAATTTAAGAAACAAATGACCAAAGTAAAAAAAAGAAAAGAAAAGAAACAAATGAAAAAGGACTCTTATCTATAGAGAACAGATGGTTTCTAGAGGGGAGGTAGCAGGGGGATAGGTGCATAAATAGGTGAGTACACTTATTGTGACAAACACTGAGTAATATATAGAATTGTTGAATCACTCTATTGTACACCTGACACTAATATAATGCTGTATGTTAACCACCATACTGGAATAAAACAAAAACTAATTAATTAAAAAAAAAAAAAAAAGAATAGCACACAGTTACTACCTATATTCTCTCCCAGAACCTCAGTAAACCAACAGCCACAGGATTGAAAACATAAAAAGACAAAATATGAAGAGCAACAAACAAACAATAACAATAAAATTTTGGAAGCAGACAGAAAACTGATTCGGCAGAAACCAAAAAGGTAAATACTGGGGCACCTGAGTGGCTCAGTTGATTAAGTGTCCAACTCTTGGTTTTGGCTCAGGTCAGGTCATGAGACTAAGCCCCGCATCAGGCTGTGTGTTCAGCGTGGAGGCTGCTTGAGATTCTTCCCCCTCCTTCTCCTTCCCCCTGTTCCTGTCCCCCCCCCCATAAAATCAATTAATTAATTAATTATTTTTTTTAAAAAGGTATATATTGGGATGCCTGGGTGGCTCAACAATTGAGCAGAGTCTGCCTTCAGCACAGGGCATGATCCTGGTCCAGGGATCAAGTCCCGCATCAAACCCCATGAGGAGCCTGCTTCTCCCTCTGCCTTTGTCTCTGCCTCTCTCTGTGTGTCTCTCATCTCTAAATAAATAAAAATCTTTAAAAATTAAAAGGTAAATAGGTAAGCCAGAGAATCATCCCCAAAACAACCTGATTTGCAGCCCCAAAAGTCTAAGAAACTGTTGGTACCAGGTACTCCTTGATAAGGAAATAAATGTAAGGCTGAAAATAGGACGACTGGCTACAAGTCTGTTGAAAAATAAGAACCAGCAAACAACTGGCTTACCTAGAGAAGGTAAAACAACATGCACAGATAAGGCATGAACACCATAGTGCAAACAAGAAAATTAGGTAAATATATGAACAATGAACAATGAATGCCAAATGCCACAACCTCAGCTTTCTTCACTCCTTCAGCAATCAGAATTTTAAGCCAATAGTTTGGTTCCATGGTGAATCTGTTACCCATGCAAAAAGACCTAACAATATTGACATCATAGGTTTTCCAAAGAAATAGCCTGCCTAAAGTAGCCTATAAAAAAACCTGAAATAAACCCCATCAATATGCACAGATTCAAATCAACTCTCAGTGCCTCATCCTTAAATATAAGCATTTGGCCAAAAATCACTTCTGATGAAAGCTTCTAGCAACAAATACAGTGACTGAAAGCATCAAACAGGAAAAAAAGCAACTTAGAAGAAAGAGGACTATGTAAAGATGAGAAAACTATTAAAAAAAAAAAACTATCATTAATATCCTCAGAAAGATAACCAGATATTTCATTCATAAAATGATGCTATGAGTAAGGAACACTCAGGGAGGAAGAAACTCATTCTCATATTCTTGTAATAATTTATTTTATTTTTTATTTTTTTTTATTTATTTTTTTTACTTATTTATGATAGTCACAGAGAGAGAGAGAGAGAGAGAGAGAGAGAGGCAGAGACATAGGCAGAGGGAGAAGCAGGCTCCATGCACTGGGAGCCCGATGTGGGATTCGATCCCGGGTCTCCAGGATCGCGCCCTGGGCCAAAGGCAGGCACTAAACTGCTGCGCCACTCAGGGATCCCTTATTTTATTTTTTAAATTAACTATCAAACCTCTAAAAAAGTAAATTTCAATAATCAGGTCCAATATTATCAGTGAGGGATACAATGAAGCACATTCTGGAAACTCTTTTTAAATTTCCTTTGCACAGGGATCCCTGGGTGGCGCAGCGGTTTGGCGCCTGCCTTTGGCCCAGGGCGCGATCCTGGAGACCCGGGATCGAATCCCACGTCGGGCTCCTGGTGCATGGAGCCTGCTTCTCCCTCTGCCTGTGTCTCTGCCTCTCTCTCTCCCTGTGTGACTATCATGAGTAAATAAAGAAAAAAATATTTAAAAATAAATTTCCTTTGCACAAAGACAACAGGCAACCTCAAGTGTACACCCACACATGCACAAGCATGCAAACAGATACTTGCCGATTTTCTTCTGAGATTTCAATTAAACTCTTCTGCAGAAAATGAAGCACTGAAACAAAAAGAATATATCATGACAAAGCAGAACCTACAACTGTAAACTTTAATGTCAGTATAAGAAAATATTTTAAGTCACTGTTACCTATAATGATATCATGGTATAGAAGTAGAAATTAAAAAGGACGGGGCATGATGCATCTTAGTAATCTGCAAGACTCTACCCACTGCCAAGAAACTTAAAAGAACCAGTTCCAAAATGACTCATACAGGCAGTTACCCCCTCAGAATAAAACAAAATAACAGGACTTACCATTTTTAAGAAGATTATTAACACCTGCTCTACCTGTAGGAATAAAAACATTAACACTGGTAAGGAGCCTCAGAACCAAAATTAACATCATTTAAAAAGAATGATGTAATGACAGAAAAAAATACACAAAAAATTTGGCTTACCCAAGTCAAAGTTCTCCATACAAGAAGATATATTGTCAATTACTTTCCTATAAGAGTATAGATCAGTAGTATTCAATTCTTCCTGAAGACGAGAAGTAAAACTTTGTATAGCCTCAGTTAGAAAAAATTCAGGTAGGCCATTTAGTGAGCTAGAAAAAGAATCAAGTATTAAAAATCTGACAACCGAGTGATAAGTAGATATATGGAGTGGGAAGGGAATCCTACAAATGAAGGAATTCTGAACTATCCCTTCAAAATACAGCCAGAAAATTTTAACTACATGCCCCAATCACTGAAACTCCCTGCTTCCATCTTGCTTCCATCCTCAAGAGAGTAGCCAGAGTGATATTATAAAAATGCCATAGTAGTCTTCTACTAAAATCTTCCAACAATGTCCCTCTCAAATTAGTAACCACAGTGCTGACAATGACTTACCAGAGTCTACACACTCTAGCCCCACCATCATCTCACCAGCCTCATCTCAAACCTTTGTCATTTAGCTCTAGCTACATGGCCTTCCTTGTTGTGACAATATACCAAAGCCTTTGCTCTTGCTATTTCCTCCACCTGACACTCTTCCTTCAAATAGACCCAACAATCATTCTCTCATCCCTGAGATCATGACCTAAGCCACCCAGGTGCTCTCCAGATGAAGTATTTTCAGAGAAGCAAGCAATTTTATACAATCTTATAGTAGAGAAAGCATACATAAGGAAGGCATGAAACTCAGAATTTTTTTTTTTTTAAGATTTTATTCTGAGAGAGTGAGAGAGCATAAGCAGGGTGAGCCTGAGGGGCAGAGGGAGAAGCAGGCTCCCAGTTGAGCAGGGAGCCCGATGAGGGGCTTGATCCCAGAACTCTGGGATCATGACCTAAGCCAAAGGCAGACTCTCACCAACTGTGCCACCCAGGTGCCCCGAAACTCAGAAATCTATACAAAGAAAAACATTAGTGGGATTGATTACTAAGAAAGGTTTTGTAATTTTTATAAGGCAAACACATCATAAAGAAAGTTCAAAGACAAGTAATAAAACAAAGGAATGGGGCACCTGTGTAGCATAGTCAGTTGAGATCCAACTCTTGGTTTTGGCTCAGATCATGATCTCAGGGTTGTGAGATTGGGCCCCACATGAGGCTCTCTGTTCAGCACAGAGTCTATTCTCTCTCTCCCTCTGACCCTCCCGCTCATGCTTTCTTTAAATTAAAAACACAAAGCTTAAAAACAAAATGAAAAGATCTTTAAAAAAAACACCAAAGAAATATATTTAGAGCTCTTATACCCATGCCATGTTTTCTTTATTGGCAAAACCCACCTCTCACTAGAGAGGCTAAAGGTGTGAGAGTTTCCACTTCTCAGCCCTTCTTACAACCAGAAGGGTAAATGACCCAATCTTGACAACAGAAAGTGATGGAAAGTGTCCTGGAACCTTGTACAAAGTGTTTTTCTCTCCAATAAAAAGAAATAGAGAAGAGGAAATTTATTTTTTTCTAGATGCCGTCATGTCTGCATAAGGTGCCAGTAACTACTACAGCCCCTTGTAATTCTGAAGGAATATATGGCCAACACTTGGGAGAAAAAATGGAAAATATCAAGCTCTATGACATTGTCGACTACTTCCCCACAACCCTAGAACCAGCCAGTTATTTGATCATTTGCTCTTTGACACATTAAATACATTTACTTATATAAGAAAAAGAGAGTGCCTGAGTGGCTCAGTTGGTTAAGTGTCTGCCTTCAGCTCAAGTCATGATCCCAGGGTCCTGGGATGAAGTCCCACATCCGGCTCCCTGCTCGGCAGAAAGCCTGCTTCTCTCTCTCCACCTGCCTACTGCTCCCCCTGCTTGTGCTCTCTCTAAAATAAATCAAATAAATAAATAAATAAATAAATAAATAAATAAATAAATAAATAAATAAATAAATAAATAAATGACATTCTAACAAGGAAACACAAAAGATACATAATCACAACTAGTCAAACTCTACATATTAAAAAATGTTCAATCTCACTAGTAATCTGGAAGTGAAAAGTAAAACATGAGGTTATTTTTTTATCTATTAGATCTTAAAAGTTTAAAGATTGATATCTAGTGTGATAAAGATATGAAGACACTGGCACTCATTCATTGTTAGTAAGAGTATAAACTTGGAATAGCTTTTGGGGAGTACAGTTTAGTAACCTCTTTGGTGAAGAAATTCCACCTATAGGAATTTATCTCAGGGAAATACACATAACAGTTATAGACATAATTAAGAATATCACGCATCATTGTTGGAATAATGAAAACAAAACTAACTAAACACCAATAAATTTATACATAAAATTGTTAGCATTATCCATATTATGGAATATTTATAGCTGTAAGAAAATATAAGGACTTTTGGTGGGAACATAAAATAATGCAGACATTATGGAAAATAAAGGAGGTTCCTCAGAAAATTAGTAATAGAATTACCATATGATCTAATAATTCACTTCTGGATATGTATCCAAAAGAACTGAAAGCAGGACCTCAAATAGATATTTACATACTCATGTGCATAGCAGCATTGTTCACAATAGTCAAGAGGAAGAAGCAACCCTGATGTCTATCAACAGAATAATGGAAAAAAAAAAAACAGAATAATGAATGAATATAATGCGGTGCATATGGACAATGAAATATAATTCAGCCTTAAAAAAGGACAAAGATCTTGCCACATGCTATCACATGGATGAAACTTGAGAACATTATGCTAAGTAAATAGGCCAATCAAAAAAAATACAAACACAAATATTCCACTTATATGTGGTAACTAAAGTAATCAAATTCATAGAAGCAGAAAGTAGAACTGTAGTAACCAGGAGCTCGGCAAAGGAGCAAATGAGGATTTACTATTTAATAATACTGGGTTTGGGGACGCCTGGCTGGCTCAGCAGTTGGGCACCCGCCTTTGGCTCAGGTCATGATCGCGGTATGCTGGGATCGAGTCCCACATCAGGCTCCTGCAAAGAGTCTGCTTCTCCCTCTGCCTGTGTCTCTGCCTCTCTCTGTGTGTGTCTCTCATGAATAAATAAAATTTTTTTAAATAAAATAAAATAATAACAATAATAATAATACTGGGTTTGGGTTTTTTTAAGTAAAATTTTACTTAAAAAAAATAAATAAAGATTTTGCTTATTTATTCTGAGAGACACAGAGAGGCATAGACATAGGCAGAGGGAGAAGCAGGCTCCACGTGGGGAGCCCGATGTGGGACTTGATCCCAGGACCCCAGGATCACGCCCTGAGCCAAAGGTAAGACACTCAACCACTGAGCCACTCAGGGGCCCCAATAATACTGTTTATAGAGTTTCAGTTTTGCAAGATGAAAAAATTCTGGAGATACACTGCAAGACAATGTAAATATACTTAATACTCAAAAATGATTAAGATCGCAAATTTTATGTTGTGTATTTTTTAACACCATTAAAAAAAAATAAGGATTATACTGACATGAAAGTATCTCTAAGACCTTCTTCAGTGAAAAAAAAAACAGGCTACAGAGCGGTGAGTAGAGTATAACCCCATTTATGTAAAAATAAGAAAACTATAATACAATACCCACACTAAACCCAAAGAAAAGGCCTCAGGAGGTAGACACCAAAATGTTAAGTCATGACCTTTACTAAAGAAAGTAAGATATGCCAGAAACAACAAACCAGAAGGCTCACTTATTTTGTTCACTTCTATATTGCTTGAAGCCTTTACATCAAGCATATATTGCTGTATTACCTGTATAATTAAAAATATTTGTTTTGTTTTGAAGATTTATTTATTTATTCATTCAGAGAGAGCGAAGAGAGAGGCAGAGACACAGGCAGAAGGAGAAGCAGGCTCCATGCAGGAAGCCCGATGTGGGACTCGATCCTGGCTCTCCAGGATCACACCCCGGGCTGCAGGCGGTGCTAAACTGCTGTGCCACCTGGGCTGCCCTAAAAGTATGTTTAAACCAAGAACAAGGGCAGCCCAGGTGGCTCAGCTGTTTGACACCGCCTTCAGCCCAGGGTGTGATCCTGGAGAGCCAGGATCAAGTCCCATGTTGGGCTCCCTGCATGGAGCCTGCCTTCTCCCTCTACCTGTGTCTCTGCCTCTCTCTGTCTCTGTGTCTCTCATAAATAAATAAATAAAATCTTTAAAAAAATAATAATAAACCAAGAACAAATGGAAAAAGAGGAAAAAGAAATAGCAAGATGACAGATTAAACTTAACCAATAATAGCATTAATGTAAATTGACTAAACCAGGAGTCAGCAAACTACAGCCCATAGCCTGTTTTATTAAGGCCTGTGACCTAAAAAAAGCCATTCCACACTTTTAAAAAGTTGTAATAAGTATAGACACCTGGGTGGCTCAGTGGTTGAGCATCTGTCTTTGGTTCAGGGCGTGGTCCCAGGGTCCTGGTATCAAGTCCCGCATCATGCTCCCCACAGACAACCTGCTTCTCCCTCTGCCTATGTCTCTGCCTCTCTCTCTGTCTCTCATGAATAAATAAATAAAATCTTATTTAAAAAATTTTTGATTAAAAAATAAATAAAAATAAAAAGTTGTAATAAGTAAACAAAACAGAGACCATATAAACTGTTAGTGACGTATTTCAGTTCAGTTTTACCAAGCCAGGAGAACTTTAAATACTGATTACTTTTGGTCAAATTGAACATTTGTAATGTTTAACTTCTTTTCTTTTTTATCCTTACCTTGCTAAGACTTTCTTCAAGGGATTCTTTACACTCAGAGAAAGATAGATGCCTGCTAAAATATCCAAACAACTTCGAATAATGGGATCACATGCACCATTCTTATCTGCCTTCTCCAGTAAAGGCACAATCTACAATCCAAAAAATTCAAAATCACAGTAATTTTTTCTAAAATCAAGTATATAGAGCAAAGTAACATAGCCAAATACTCTTTTAAGTCTCAATTATAATGTGAAATATATTCTATACTGCATTGTTGAGGATACCGATTTAAATACCTATTTTAGTAATTTTTAACTTTTTAACCCATATCTCCAACTCCCATTTTACTCTCCAGACCGACCTCTATTAAGAATTAGACTTATTAATGGCTTAAAGTATAGGAATTCTGTTGCAATACTGAAAAACCAGTAATATATATAATTGCTTCCCCCCAAAATTATGCAAGTTCAAAAGGTAAACCCTAATACTGAAATACTGGTAAGGAGAGTCTTTATATTTTAAATTAACTTTTTAATATGTCTGCTAAAAAGTCTGAAAGGTTCAAATAGAGATAATTTTTAAAAATTTATCTCCACAGAAAAGATATGCACAATTGTCTCATTATCCTATAGCTTTCTAGCTCCAATGTTGGTGGAAGGCTGAATATGGCATCTACTGATACTCTGAATAAAATGAGATTATACAACAAACAGAAAAGGAAAGGAAAAACCTCTATTCTTTAATGACACATTGATATTAAATAATCGGGTGCCAAAAACTGTCAGTTAATTTTAAAAGTCCATAGTAGCATGATAATCTTCAAGATGTATCCATGAATATCAATCCAGTCTTACCTGTTTAACATAATGGATTTGTGACACTCCATCAGTGAGTTGTACACAGTATAACAGCAAAGAAGCTAAATTCTTTCCTTCCACATCAGCCAAAACTAGATAACACACAAACAAAAATTTCTTCAAGGATCTAACAACATACGCACATGAGTTTGCCAAAAAAAAAAAAAAAGCAAGCAGAACTTAGTCTGAAGACAGAATTTTTAGGAAGCCATTTTACATGCAAAATTAAATGTAAAGAACATGGAAAAAATTAAATAGCAAGAGTCTGAACAAGATATTTAGTCTCAGAGATAAAAATACCCTGCAACCCAGGAAAGAAAGAAAATAATGAAGTCAGAAATCACTTACATCTCAAAGTTTCAAGGTCTTGATGGCAAATAGTCAGTGCAGTTACTTGCATTTCTTTTTTCTTCTTTACACCCATTTTAAACAGAATTAATGGTAGTCACTGCAAAAAAAGAAGAGTTTATTTTTTTATTTTTTAAAAAGAAGAGTTTAAAGCATTGTCTAATTCAGGATTTCTGAACCTCAGTACTATTGGCATTTGGAGCAAGATAATTTTTTGCTATGGGGTATCATTCTATGTATTGTAGGATATTGAACAGGTTCCTGGCCTCTGCCCATTAGATGCCAGCAGCATCCCCTTCCCAGCAAGTTATGACAATCGAAAAATGCCAAATGTCTCCTGGAGACCAAAGTGGCCCCAGGTTGAGAATTACTGGTCTAAGGATTTTTGCTCCAAAAAAGAAAAACATTTTTTAAGCTCAAAAAGAGTTTATTATTGTCTAAAGTTACCATTACCTATTATGACCCAGTCTTTGTATTTTAAAATACAGCCAACCTTCAGGCACCTGGGTGGCTCAGTTGGTTGAACGTCTACCTTTGGTTCAGGTTGTGGTCCCAGGGTTCTGGAGCCTGCTTCTCCCCCTGCTTGTGCTCTCTCGCACTCTGTCAAATAAATAAATAAAATCTTTTTAGGAAAAATTTACAATAAAAAATAATTTTTTACAATAAAAAATAAAATACAGCCAACCTTCATTTTAGTAATAAATAACAATAAAAAAACCGGCGTGGTCTTTCTAAAAGTAAACTGGGCCCAACTAACCTCAGTGCCTTCCCAGTTAACCAGAGGTGTTTGGCCTGGAGACAAAAGGATGGCACAAATGCTATAAAGCAGCTGTTGTTGTTGTTGGACTGTCAGAAAAAGAGGAGATATTTTCTGTCTTGCTAAAGAATTGGGAAAAGTCAGTGCAAGTTTCAATGAGGCAGATCCCTGCTTAATGTAAAGAAAGACCTCTCTAATCCACCTATGTATGGCACGGACTGCCTTGTAAGCAGAGAATTTCCCCATCCTGGAAATATCCCACCAGAAGTTGTATGAGCCCTCTGCAGCTGGACCCTTGCAATAGCCTCACAGCTGGTCTATTCTCTTCTCTCTTGATTCTGAGGACTCCCCGCTTTTCACAGGCATCATAGCAATCTTTTTAAAACTCTAATCAAATCTAATTACTCGCTTGCTTAAAACTCTGCAAGGGATTCCAATTACACTTAGAATTAAATCGAACTTGATACTTGAGACCTTGGCCTTCGAGGCACCAAGGAATTTGGTCCTGCCTTCCTCTGCATTTCATCTCAAATCAATCTTCTCTTCACCATCCGAGGGGCTTTGCCTTTCCTCATACCTCTGCCTGTTAATGCTTGTTCCACCAGATCTTTGCAAGATCTTTTTCCCATCTTTCAGGTCTCTTCTCAAATAGCACCTCCAATGAGAAGCCTTCCATGACCACTCAAACTATATCAAATGCCAGCACTCCAACTCACAGATCATTTCCATTACTCTATTTTCTCCATAGTACTACTACTACCTAAGATCGCAATAACTTGTTTATTTCTATATTGTCTGTCTCCCCCAGTAATAAACTCCACGAAGGCAGCAACTTTCATCTGTTTCACCCACTATTTTAATTCTCAATTCCTAAAACAGTACCTGGCATATATCCAGTGCTTAATAAATATCTGATGAATAAGCAAATGAATTAATTAGCAAACATTGTCAGCGATGCATGCCTTTAACAACAGAAAGGTGCACTACCCAGTTATGTATATTCTGTATCTAAGTGACAAACCAGTCCTGACACTGAAGAACCTGTGGTCCGTCTGCAAAGTAAGAAATCGATAGGGCACTGGAATGTGAAAAACCATTTAACAGAAAATAGTAATAAAAACGGACACTGCCAGAATGGCAAGGACAAGGGAAGAATTTGCAAAGTGACATGATGAGGTCTAGCGTAATAATTGGGGATCAAAAAAATAATAATAATAATTGGGGATCGCTTCCTAGGAAAGTGGCCAATACAGAAACTTAAGAAGAGCTAGAGACAGAGAACTGAGGAGACTGATCTCTCGTAAATGCTAAGTTTACAGCAGGATACGATCGTGGAACCCTAAAGACTACACAAAAATAGGTTCGGTGCTTATGCGTGCTCAACAGACGCCTGAACCTTTGTCCTGATGAACTGGGCTTCCCCAATCAGGGAAAATCCCGTGCCCACCCTACAGCAGTGCTTCAGTGACGAGAAGATGCTCCGCAAATCGTACTCCCACTGGCTGCTTCGCTTTGGACCGCTGCTTCGCTCCCACCTACACCTTGCTGGCTGACTCCCAAAACGCTCTTTGTGCAGTTTCCGAACCACGTGGAGTCCGGAGAATGACAGGCGACCCAAAACACTGGTTCAAGCGCTGTCTCCATGGAGACCTAAGCGACCGGAAACCGGTATAGCAACCGCCAAGACCTCGCGATAGCAGAGGACGAGAATTGGTGCGAATCCCCCGGCTGCCCCAGGAAAGTGGCGGAGGCGAGCAGTGCCGAGTCGCGCGCGCTGCCGCGAGTCTGGCACACGGGACGCCTGGGAGCCAAACCTTGTGCCCGTGAGCGTCTAGGAAGAGTCGCTGCCGTGTGGACGAGTACCGAAGCTGGTCTAGTTCTACGATGCCTCCGTGGCTCGCAACGTGGTCTGTCGACTACCGGGTCTGCGCAATGGGAGGGAGGCAAGGGAGACCCGAACAGGCGTCATCGCGAGAACTGAGCGGCTGCGCTCTTCCAATCAGGAGTCCGGGGCGGTGGTGACGTCACCGGGAGCGGGGGGGGGGGGGGGAGGGGGTTAGCGAGCGGGTTTGGGTAGACGGCGGCTGTAAACAGAGCGCGCGGGGTACGCTCGCGGCGCGGGGCCAGCCCGCCGCTGGGAGGCCCCCCGGGCTCGGTCGCCTTAGGGCAGTGTAGACCTGGAGTACCTGGGCAGCACTTTAGCCTCCATCCGGGCATTCCACCCTCCTCCCACGCGGCCCGCCCAGCCCGGAGAAGGGGAGAAAACCGCCCCAGGGCTGTGAGAACCGGCGACCGTAGGGCCTGCGAGATGGGATCCTTCGGGCCTTACGCTGAAGCCACGCCAGGAGTTTTGGCTAAAACGAGAAGCGCCAACATGAACTAACTAACGTGTGTCGTGTCCCGAGTGCGTTTGTTCGTTCGTCAGATGGTGAATGAGCGCGAACTGTCCGAGCTCCTGCCAGGCGGGGTGGCCTAGAAGTCATCAGATGATTCATTACCTTAGAAAGAAATCAGGGGCGGGACCCTGCGCTCGGAGCTGGGACAGAGGGTCGGGGTAAGGTCAGGACACAGAGACGGATGCTGTGCAAGGTGGCCAGTGTGGCTGGAGCCAACGGGGGAGGTTGTAGGGAAGCCCTGACGTAGGGCGGTGGGGCCGGGGAAGTTAGGTGATGTAAAGCCCCATTGCCCTATGTCAGGGCTTCCTCCTCCGTGAGATGGGGAGTCATTTTGAGCCGAAGAGTGATAAGGTTGTTCATATTTCAAAAGAATCACTGGAGCTACTTTGTAGTGGAAGCTGGACGACCAGTAAGTGAGGAAGCTATTCTTGGAAACTAGTAAGATGCTAGTGACTCAAACCAGGGTGACAGCAGTGGAAAGAAAGTATGAGGGGTGGACAGGTTCTGGATTATGACCTGAAAAGTAAGCTAACCGGATTTTTTGAAGGATAAGCTATGGGGGATGAAGAAAGAGGAGTCAATGAGGATCCCAAGATTTCTGATTTGAGCAAGGGGAGGATGAAATTGCCATTATGGAGTGATGGGGCAAAAATTTGGAGTGTATTTGAATGGGTGTGAAACACACTGGGAGAGGAAATGTCAAGATCAAGTAGAAACAACTCTAGTACTTCCATTAGGGTCAAATAAATGGAGCAGTAACTATGGGAATTAGAGGCAATGAAGGTTTAGGTTTTAAAGGTTCAAATAAAAAAAAAGTTTTAATTTAAAAAAAAAGGTTCAAATAGAAACGAGAAGATAGCCTTTTGTTTTTGCAAAGCCACTTAACCTACCAACTTGAAACTAAATTAACTTCTCTGCTTGAGGTTTTCTAGACTACAGCATGAATTTAAGCCATGAACTTTTAAGTAGCTATTTATTTGTAAAAACGTATTCCAAGGGAGTTTTTAAAGAGTCCATAATCCTTAGTATATAAAAGTGTAGAAACACTTAAATGACATCTTATTGTAAAAGTGGACTACATAAAATCATGAAAAATAATATGTCCATGTTTTGTTAAGTGTAGTTTAGCTTTGGAAATAAGTACCTGTTGAAGCAGCATTGTCCCCTCAATTATGGAATGGATTTTTTTATACTTATTTAATGACACATTTTCACAGATAATGATTTTAAAATTTTTGACACTTGACAGGACATTTGATTAAAATTTGATCTCTGAAAGCCACAAAAAAAGGATATTTTTATTTAAGATTTTATTTATTCATGGGAGACCTAGCGAGAGGCAGAAACATAGGCAGAGGGTGAAGCAGGCTCCCTGCAGGAAGCCCAATGCGGGATTCGATCCCAGGACCCTGTGATCATGACCTCAGCCAAAGGCAGATGCTAAACCACTGAACCACCAGGGTGCCCAAAAAAGGCTTTAATTGCTTACTCATTTATTACTTATCCATAAAAGTCTCTATACAAGCCAAACTACTTGCCAACCCAAGCTAAGTTTCTTTTGTGAGTACTGTTTTGCATAACTGAAAAGTGTAATATAGTCTGTCAGTTTTATAGTCCCATTACCTCCTAAAAAAAATAGTTTATGGTAATCTGCAAGCAGTACATGATTTACATAAAGAGTCCCTCATAAAAAGCCTTATTTCATATTTTCATGTCTAAAATGAAGTCCAAAAGCATATACTAGAGCTATGAATGTGAATATTGTGTCATTTTTTAATATAAGATGAAATCTTGCTGCTTGTTAATAAATGTTATTGTTTGTCCCCTAGTCTATAAAAGAAAGCAAAGTTCTTCTGTTATTGATCTTGCTGTATAATAAATAACCCCAAAACTTAATGTCTTCAAACACTACATTTTTACTTTTTACAGTTTCTCTGGGTCAGAAATTTAGCAGCATTGTGTGTGGCTGAGTGCTACTGGCCAGGAGTCTCCCATGAGCCTGCAGTCACCGGAAGATCTGGCTGGGGCAAGAGGAACCACTTCCAAAATGACTTAATCCAGCGTCTCTGGTTGTTGACAGGGGGCCTCAATCCCTTCCATGTGGGCTTCTCCTCAGGCTGCTTAAACAGTCTCATAACATGGTGTCAGGCCTTCCCCAGAATGAGCACAGGAAAGCAAGGTAGAAGCTTCGATGACATTGATGGCCCAGCCACGGAAGTTACACACCATTTCAACAACATTCTGTAGTCACACAAGTTAGCTCTATTCATTGTGAGAAGGGTTGACAGAGAAGTGGATCAGGAGGCCAATGTAATTGGGGAGTGCCATTTTGGAGGCTGGCTACCACAGTATTAGAACACATCTGCTGGGTTTTCCTCAATTCTTGAAATGTACTAGCTAAGGAATCACAACTACGAAATAATTTTTTTTTAAGATTTATTTATTTATTCGTGAAAGACAGAGAGCGAGAGAGAGGCAGAGACACAGGGAGGCCAACGTGGGACTTGATCCCGGGACTCCAGGATCAGGCCCTGGGCCAAAGGCAGGCGCTCAACCGCTGAGCTGCCCAGGTGTCCCAGGAGGGAAAATTTTAGATGCTCTTCCAACTTTCTCTTTTTCAGCTGTTCTGATCCCTTCCGGAATTAAGAGCACACATAGCGGCTTGTCTTCCATGTGACACTCCTTTTCCTTCCCCATACACCAGGCTCCAGCTTGAGTGGCCTTCTCAATAGTCCCTGAAAGCACTGCTCCATCCATGTGCTATGCCCTCTGCTGAGAGGGCCTTTCTTATTCTCACCTGAGAAACTGCAGCACACTTGAAGACCCATCTCAAATGTCACCTCCTCAATGAAACCTGACAAGAAATCCCTGTTCTGCCATACTTAGATTTTTGTCTCAGTTATAACAATGTCATTTTGTCAGTACATGCTAGTTATTTGTATGCTTGTCAGTCTTCCTACAAGTCTTTCCAAGACAGGGACCGTCTTTAGACAGTGCCTAGTGCAGTGCTGAGTGTAAATAGCTCAGCAAATATTTGTTGGGTTAGGGTAATGGCTATCGTGTTCTTTACAGTGTTAATGGGCAGTGGTGCTTATTTTACCACCATGTGGCAACAAACTATGGAATTATTTCTACCTTTGAATAAGGAGTTCAGCCAGGATGAATATTCACCAAATTGTAGTCTGTGTTTTTTTGGGGAGTAGAATTACAGGAGGCCCTCATTTTCCATGCTATTTCGGCATTGTTTGAATAATAGTATGTTTTTTCATGTGGAATACAGCACTCACACAGGAAATAAGTATTTACAAAGAAATTTTAGCTTGTTAACTTCCTACCCAAAAGTATGTTAGAATAACTTGTTGACTCAGATTAGTTAATATACTATGAAATATAACATTCAAATAGAAGATTACTTTGTGAAAATTGAGCAATTTTATTCACAGAGTGCTCAGTACTGCACTAGGCAGTAATCCTAACTCTGGAATATGTTGGTATTTTGATAGGGATTGCATTAAATCTATAGATTGCTTGGGTGGTATGGACATTTTAATAATATTGACTGTTCCAATCCATTAGCATGGAATATCTATCTATTTGTGTCATCTTTAGTTTCTTTTATCAGTGTTTTATAGTTTTCAGAGTACAGGTCTTTCCTTGGCTAAGTTTATTCATAGGTATTATTTTTGGTGTAATCATAAATGGAATTGTTTTCAATATCGTGTTTTTAAAATTCAGCATTATTGCTGCTTATGCCTTTTACATCAAAAAACCAAATATTTAAAAGAAAATTTAAGTAAGTCAGAAATGAAGTAATAAGGAAAAATATTTATAAAATAATATGACCTAAAAATATTGGAACAGAAAATTATGTATACATTATGTTTACAACTTCATAAAAATATAGATACTGTGAATAAGGGTTGGAAGAGAATGTGTTTGAAAAAGTAGTTTAAGCTGGTAAGATTGAGTGAACATTTTTTCTTCTTAAAGTGTCTTTAATGTTGTAACACTGGGTTAATAAACTTTTCTTTTAAGGCCTGTTTTTGTAATCACCAAAAAGTTAACATTTTTTACTATTTGAATTATGTTACGGTCATTTTATTTTATTTAGATTTTATTTATTTTTTTGGTGGGGAGTGAGTAGAGAAGGGCAGAAGGGGAAGGAGAGGGACAAGCAGACTCTGTGCTGAGTAGGAAGCCTGACATAGGGCTGCATCTCACAACCCTGAGCAGAAATCAAGAGTCAGCCGCTCAACCTCCCGAGCCACCCAGGTGCCCGTGTTACTGCCTTTAAAGAAAGGTAACAATTGTGTAGGGCGCAGATAGAAAAAAAACAAAAATTTTAAATACATAGACCATCCTTGCCTAAAATGCTTTTGAAAAGAAAATAAATGTTTTTCATTCTTGTTTCAAAAAGCAATCCTGGAACACCTGGGTGGCTCAGTGGTTGGGCATCTGCCTTTGCTGGGGGCGTGATCCCGGTCCCAGGATCGAGTCCCTCATCAGGCTCCTTGCGGGGAGCCTGCTTCTCCCTCTGCCTGTGTCTCTGCCTCTCTCTCTCTCTCTATGTGTCTCTTGAGTAAATAAAATCTTTTTTAAGAA